GGCCACAGACTTGACACTTAAACTAGAGGGCCTCCACTTCCTTTACCATGAGAGAGTGAAAACAGCAGTGCTAAAACAGTGAGCTCTGCACAGCTACGTGCCCTTCCTCTTGGGAACAGTAGAGGAATATCTGTCATGTTAAATTCTCAGGGCGTTCTTAGGGGCCACTGACTGAACATCATGTTCTGAAACAGTGCTCAAGCTCTGCTGTATCGCTCATTCAGAACAATAGACTGAGTAAAAGGCTTGTACTTTAGAGAACCTTACTGCTTTACAACTTTCAAGCTGAGCTACACAGCTGGTGTTGAATATAAATGAGTGAATTAGATATCTTGATCTTACATTTTGTCTGAGTGTGGTATCATTTTCCTGACATGCTGCTAGCGATCTGCCTCATTAGTCTGCCTCGAGGTAAGATACTTACACCTGCTTCTGCAGAGTTCCTCAATCACTGCTGTATACCACATTGTTTAGATTTTAAAGCAGAAGGTCATTAGGGGAAGGAAGTAACTTGAACTACTTCTCTTGTACAGCAATAAGCAGTGTTTTTTTTTTACTTTGAGGGGAAACAGTCCTTATAAGTGTTATGTCTATTATCCTAAAGATGTTTATATTGATGGTTGATCTATCTATAGGGTTAGGGTTACCTAACCATAACCCTAAATTGAGTGTCTATGCTTTTAGATTTACTTTATTATTATGATTATACTTTACTGTTTTGTGCTCAACAATTTGTGGTGGGCATTATGTCACCTACATTTAATTAAATATTGAGTTAGTGAGAACAATTGACTCCTATTATCAAGCTATATCAGATATGAACATCTGCAACTATACTGTAGGAATTTCCGTAGTCTAATGAGAGGCTTTAAAGAAGAGCCCATCTGTGAAGCCACAGTGCTATACTGTGTTCCTGTCTCTGAACTGGCAGACTGCTGGTGACTCACTTAACACCCCTGAGACGTCAGCATCTGACAGACCACATTCACAAAGACAGAGAACAGTGTTTGCATTGTACTGGTTGTATGTGCTCATGGATATAGGGCAATGAGGGGAGGCACATGGGAACTGATCAGTGCTCAGCAAAGGAACAAAGGTATGACGACGAGCTCTGATGTCAAAATATTGAACAAACCAATTTTATAAACTTTGTTATGAACTTTCATTGCTTACAAAGACTTCGAAAGAAAGATATGATTTAGTCCAATTAGATCAAATCAAGAACTTCAGTAAGTAAGTAAAATCAGTAAAATAAAAAAATGATGGCAATGGTTTCTATCATACTTCAGGGCATGGTTAGAGAAAACTGAGCTGAAGTTGAGTTTCAGTATCAATACCAAAATTATATTTCTTTCCACACCTTTTTTTGAGGATAGTAAACATTAGAATATAAACATATATATACACACATATTCCTTAGCTTCTCAGTTGTGGACATTTGCTGGTTTTCTTTGTCTTATGTGACAGTAAACCAAATATCTTTGTGTTTTGGACTGTTGGTCGGACAGACATTTGTCCTCAAGTCCTCACCTGTTTCTTTCCATTTAAGAAAGCCAATATTTGAGGCACTTCTCACATGTTTTAAACACAAGCAGTACAAGAACTTGGCCTAAATAACAAGTCTAAGAATGGCAAAATTCTGATTCATAACAGATACTGATTGAAGAAAATATAAACAACACTAAGAATCTCAGGGCATCCTTGTGGCCCAGGGGTTTAAGACAACGACAATGTAATTGCAACATCCCAAGTTGGAGTCCAGTTGCAGACCTTTGTTGCATGCTGTCCCCCATCCATCTCCACTCACTGTCACCTCTCTACTGTCGGCTATCTAATTAGGTTTTACTCCATTGATTTAGAAATTAGGTACAGAATGACAAGACATTTCTCGATACTCTGTAGTATCGATGCAATTTGTTCTGTGTTATAAACGTATCTCAGTTCGGTATATCTAATAAAGGCAAAAATGCTCCAAAATACATTAAAAAAGGTGTTCAATACTCAGTGTCTACCAACATAGTATTGAAGTTTGATACTTAGCCCGAACTTTCCATTCGAGTACAATGACCATTTCTGTGATTACAGGCAGCGATGTTATTGTACGTGTTGGTGTGTAAGGCAAGCCAGTGTCCATGTTAGTGAATAAAGCCACATTTCTAAACACAAACTAGAACTGGGCGATAAATCGATTTTATCGATTAATTTGAATTTGTAGTTAAACACGATTTATTTTTAGTTAAAATCGGTTTTCTCTTTAACTTCCACTACACCGGCGCTCCCTTTGGGCTCCCGTAGGTCAGAGTGCGCTGACCCCTCCCCCCGCCTCTCTACAGATACACACAACATGGCAGCAAGCCAGGATGAGCTCCTCCCCAAAAAAGGCACAGTGTCGTCAGTTGTTTGGTTTTGTGGCGTCCGACAGCGAACAAACCACGACCCACTGCAAAGTTTGTTTGAAAGCTGTTGCAACCAAAGGTAGCAGTACGACCAATTTATTCCTGCACCTCAAGCAGAGGCATGCAGCCGAGTGGGAGAAATGTTGCTCTCTGCATGATATACAGGACCGCAGCCCACAAACACCCGCTAAAAAAACAGTCTACATTAGTGGATTCATTTTCACATTGTGTCCCTTATGATAAGAAAGGGACCCGGTGGGACATTGTTTGAAGTAAGTAGAAAGCTTGCTGAAAAGTTACATTTTCACTGTTGTTTACAATGGCATGGCCTGCCATCTTGTTTACAAGCTTGTTTCAAGACTTGCGTTTTGTTGCACTTTAGCCCTAAAGGGAAATTTTATTCAAATCCCAGAAGGGAAAATCAAAACAAAATAAAAGCAAAACCTGTTTTGTAGTGCGTTTTTAAGAAGGAAAAAAAATCGATTAAAATCGTAAATCGGGTTTGGTGTGAAAAAATCTGAGATTTTATTTTTAAGCCATATCGCCCAGCCCTAACACAAACTCTTTCATATCCTTGAGCTGAGTCGTTCTGTGAATGAAAGGCACATAAACATTTCTTTTTCGACTGGCGGGCCCACGCAGTTAAACCTTCACAGTGTCACAATCATAAACACAGCATGACAGAACTCTCAGCCCGCAAAAAGTCTGCTACTATTTACTACCAACATAGCATGTTTAGCCTCATTTTCACAGGAGACCTTGGCAGGCAGAGGTCAGCTTTAACCACGCCATTCCTCACCGGTGTTTCGGAAGCTGTTTTTAGAAGCAAGCGCCCCCCCCAAAAAAGCCAAAGAAGTGTAGAGACGAGCAAAAAGCAGCTCTGGAGGTCACAACCCAAAACCAAAAGTAGAACCCACCCCGCAATCTAGCTGCAAAAATAACACAAATCTGTGCCAAAAATGATTCAGAAGAGGGGAACAGAACAAAAGCGGCAAGGGACACTATTGTGCTGCACAGAAAATAGTTCTTAAAATTGCTGTTTTAATCTAACTTGACTTAAAATTACCATATGGTTTGAGAAAACTTCAGAATGTAGGAAAGACTGCAGAGGTTAGTACTTGTTGGTCAGGCATGTGATTCACGGCCAAACAAATCACAGATAACTGCTCTTCTGGGATCATCTGTTGTAGACCCGCTTTCAAACTTGCAGGGTAAGCAGTGTGTGTGTGTGTGTGTGTGTGTGGTGGAGGTAAATGGCTGTAACAGGCGATTATTCGTACCACTTTACGCCTCTGAGCTTGAGATTCCCCCTCCGGCACAAAGCATGTGTCGTAGAGGGCAATCGCACACATTCATCACCTCTGTCCCATAGGAACACAGCAACACACACACACACACACACACACACACACACACAAAATCACAAAGTGCATATTCATCACTTCCGTCTCCAGGGGACAAGTAGGCACATAAGGTGTACATCACTCACCAACAAAGAAACAAACACACACACATGAGAAACGTCACAGGTCCAGAAGAAAGGCCTGGGTGTGGCAGTAAGTGGTCTCGTAAATCAGGTGGGAGCCTGGCCCCTGCTGCAACAGCTGTTCCCTGGGGGGGGGCCCTGAGGTCACATCCATTCAGCTGGTGGCTCCTGGCTCGGCTACCGTCTTTCAACTCCCCCCACTGTCCTACATTTACCCTCCTCCTCAATTAGCCTTCCTCCCCCTCCTTCCCTCCTACTGTCCTTTCTCCACCCCCTGTGCCTTCCATATCTCCTTCCGACGCCCCCTCTTTATCCTCCGTCCTTGCCTCCCTGTCTGCCTCCATTTCCCTGATTAAACTACACAGTGAAGTCAGCACAGTCAGCTGTATTTATAAGGCCTTCATCCTCCTGCTGCTCTCCTTCATATGAAATCGGGGGAACTCTGCTTAATACAATCAATGCATGCTCTGCAGCCTGTCAATCACACACTGCAACAAGCTGCACGGTCTGTCAGAAAGCTAATGTATGTATTCTGATTTCTTTGTTGTGCATCCAGCCCTCACCTTTAAGCTCTGTACTGTTTCCTGTTTGCTACAGAAGGCTTCTGGATTTAGGACCTCACTGACTCATGCTTTCAGCAGTTTAAACTCCTGCAGTCTCCCTCTCCCTCTGGGCTGTCAGCATCTCATGTGAAGTGATCCCTGAGTAATTTAAATAGATCATGTGAGATTACTTGTTGAAGCCCTTTCATATGACCATCCACATTAAATGAGGAGAGGTGTAACGACAGCCTGTTGCATGTGACCCAAAGAAAGATGGATGGATGAATAGCATATTGTATTATTAAGAGTAGTAGTAGTAGTAATAAGATATTGTAGCAGATGTAACATGTAAACCATTATCTCAAGTCATTCTTTAGTGCCACAGGTAAATATTAGTCCATACAGGAACATTCAAATGTCACTACAAGTGATAGAAAATGCCTTAAAGGACCATATCAACTCAGTATTGAGACTGCAAATGTAACACAAGACTGTACATAAAAAATCTTAACAATAATACAGAGAATATTTTTATGTAGGGATTAAACAATATAACATGAGTGTGAGCTCCCTTACCGTGGCGCTGTGGTGTTATATCGGGGCCAACATACAGAGGAAGTAAGCTAGCTTTTCTCTCCCAGCTCCCAGTGATGACCCGCTAGCAGCGGCAGCAACTATCTGCTCTGTTGGCACCGGGAGCCACTTTCTCCTCCGAAAAAGTCACGGTAGATTTCCCCCGCTACTCATTCCCCTCAACTTCCCTCCACTCAGAAAATGTACACAGTGTTTATTAAAAACCAAGAGCGGGAACGGGTCGAGAGCTGGAAAAGGAAACAAAATCCCAGCGGCGTCTGTGCGGACCTCTTCTCCTCGGTCTCAATCAGTGGAGAGCGGAGAGGCTGACCCGCGGAGCTCCAAGCACACTGTGGACAACCAGCGCGTGGCACGGAGCGTTTCCGGTTGTCACCTTCAAAATAAAACAGGGGCCGTACGTTACTTACAATTTGAAATTCGCTTTTGGATTGTTTTTTTTTTAAAATCTCGCTGGAATTAATATCTGTCCAAGCCTGTTCCCAGCGACGAACATTATGCTCATTTTCTAATATAAATATGTGAGGTTTACGTGCAGCACCATAGGTCACTGTCGATTTAAATAGAGTGGTGTTGCCACTGGACACTGATAGCAAATGTAGATATAGCAAACACGATGTTTGATGATACATGATCTACTGTAACACAAATGCACTTTTGCAAATATATATAATATATAGACTAATATAGCCGGCTTTGGTATACAATCACAGAAACGAGAATCACACAAACGCACACACACACAAACACAAACACACACACACACACACACACACACACACACACACACACACACACACACACACACACACACACACACACGAAAGGCTTAATCCTATAATATATATTAATAACAGAGGTGGTAAAATTATTTCCTCAGGCAGAAACACACGCTGTGTATTCAAGGTATAGCTACTGTGAAATATATCACGTTTCAATTACATTTATTTTGAAGGCAGCTACTTCTCTCTTCCCATTACATTTTTGCTCAATTTACCTCCTGCTTACACCCCCCCCCCCCCCCACTCACATAATTGACTATTTATACAGATGCTGCCAACATGTCTATTCAATGTTGCATCAATCTGTAACACCATTAAAATGGATATCCCTCACCATCATCATCATGATCATCATCACCACCGCCACCACCATCATCATCACCAACATCATCAACATCATCATCATCATCATCATCATCATCAGTGTACTGAACTTTTCTATAGACAGAAACAAGGTTAATGCAAGAACATGACTGTCCTGTTGTAATACAACATAATGTACACGTTTCTGTGCTGAAATCCAACTTAATGAATAAAACAAGTTAAAGTTCAATTATTTTAGCACCTCTGACTGTGTTTTCTTCTTCCCTTTTGATGGTTTGACGTGTTAATTAACATTAATTACCACAAAAAACATTAGCATAAATTCCAGTCCAACCCTCAGAATAGCAGTCTATGCAAAACATTTCAGAGCCAGCTTTATTCAGACACATGTTTAACTGCCCACTCAATGTTTAATTATAGAGGTAAAGTTGTTACTATTCCTGAAATGAATTTGATAATAGATTACGGCTGCCATTCAAGTGACATTTTCAGGTGATTTTAGGGTTAATAACTATAGTTTCTACTAAAGTCTTACAATCACTTGTTAATGTATGTGTCTCTTAAAAGTGATTTAATCTCCTCATCATTCACACATTTCCTCCTGATGTGTATTAAAAAAGTTTGGTTGTCTAATCAGGTAAAAGAAAGAAAGAAAGAAGGTACCTGATGAGTCTGTTTTGAATGAAGAAATTCAAGTATAACATTTAAAGCCACATGAATCTGTTTTTACAGGGGGGGTTAAACCCTAATTATCACAACACATAATAGAAAATGTATATAATAATATGAGAGTTATTCCTTTTTTCAATTTTCCACAGCATTAGATGCCACATAAAAGACATGGTGCTTACTGCACAGTTTTTGGATGAGATTCAGTGAAAATAATCAACTCAGCCAGTTATATATTTGCTTTAAACTTAGTGGAAAGTTATTCCTGCCTCAACACTGGGGACCTAGTGGAAAAATGTGAGAAAAAACAAACTATCACATCCGGAAGATCCTTGAATCCTGTTTAGTCTCCAGGGAGTGTGTTTACCAGGGAATGCAGCCCTTTATCTCCCTCCTTCCCCCACTCCCTGTCCCTCAAGATGGGTTGAAAGTTTAATGTGCTGTAACTGGAAGGAAACTCTACATTTATCTCCCTTATAGTTCATGTCTCTTGCACTAGTTGTATAACCTGAAATATATTGTTTTTTAATAAAAAGTACATGAGTTAGGGAGCAATTAAAATAAATGATGACTGATGATGATTAGTCTGAGTAGATCCGGATGAAGCAGCAATTACACTGATATGAATTATACTTAAGAATTAAGGCCAGAGACATTCTTCTAAATGCACGAATCACATCGCAGAGTAACTTCCTGTTACTTTCCGTTCCATCAGTAATAGGAAGTGGAGGTGATGGAGATAAAGGCTGTGTAGGAGCATGTCCAACCGGCAGCCATACAGTATGTTTGACACACTCAGATAAGGAGCATACCAGAGGCTCAGACAGATGGCATGTGATCCACTTCACAGAAATTAACTTCATCTAATTAACAGTTTCTCTTCTGGCTTCACCATCTGCACTCCTCTGACTGAAAATGCTCTGGGTGGTCAGATGTAAAAAGATGGAAACAGGTCACTTGCAAAAATCAAGAAAAAAGAAAGATAAAAACATGTGTATACATCACATAGTAACAAAAAGTAAATCCCGAGTTGAAGACCACCTTAAAATGTGACAGATGTAAGGCTGTTGAAGGTCAAAAGTTGTATGATCAAAAGTGTATTTGTGAGACGACAACAGTTATAATGTTTATTCTTTATTTGTGTAATGAGGATTTAGGTTTGTGTGTAATAGTTCATAAAAATGAGTGTGATCTGCAGTGCTGATGTACACAGAGTGTACTGTTACATGTTAGGACTTCCATGACGTCTGGAGCCCCCCTGTGGTCTGTTTTGATCACTGCACGGAAACAATGAAAAACACCTGAAAATGCAACAATATCTTGTTTAAATGTTCTTGTTTTTTCCTCTCTTAGCATCCACCATGACATTAAAAACATACAACTGTCCCTGTCATTACAAAGTAATTTTTTTCACAGCAGTCAATTTGACTTGATGGTAGGAAAAGTACACCTGTGTGACTAAGAATGTAACATTGGCTCTGTCCTATTGAAGTGTCCCAGTCAGTCATGATGTGAGCCAACCCGAAATGGAATTCAACCATTATTAACTTTATTATTTACACCTCTGCTTACCTACTACTTGTGTAAAAAATGCCTATGCAGCTGTTTACCATGTTGGTATGGGTAACACACTATGACTAACACTTCTACTTACTTATTGTTACTCCACTGAGCCATCCAGTGGTAAAATGGAAAACTGCAGATAGAGTTTATGCCTCTGTTGGGCTGTTACTGCTGTTTGATGATTGTGTTCAGTGGCTGAAGAACTGTCCACATCTTTTAAAAAAAGTAGCAAAACAATAATCTCATATATATATATGTTGTCATTGAGCATTTATAAATACTCAATGACAACCTGCATTTAAAAAGCATAAAAATGTACTTAAAATATCAAACGTAAAAGTATGTATTCTGCATTAAAATGTCCCCTGTGACCGATATATTACACATATATTATATATATAACATTATTGGATTGTTGACACTGATGCATCAATGTGTAATTAGCATTACTCTGTTGTAGCTGCTCGAGGAGCTGGTTTGAACTACTTTAATTACTTTAATTAGTTTCGTCCTGAGGTTCAATGATAAATCTGAAGGGTTGTGAGATGATTAATGGGAGAGAAACATAGTTCTGACACTCAAATTTGGGTAAAACTTTACTTTAAGTCTCCATATTTAGCATTTCAAAGCAGTATATGAGAGGACACTATAATGTAATTGTATGCAGCTGTAAATGTTGTAAGTATTCATTATTTAGTTTTCAGTAATTATAACTTCTCCAATGGAGGCATAATTTATGTTATTACAACTGTGTTTAACTACATTGTCATTCATTATCTGTTTATACAGCAGCATCCACTTATGGGTGTCCACAGGAAGAGTTACAGTTCCTGACGAATACATTAATAAAGTCCTACATCTACTTACAACTACAGTGCATTAGAGTGTGTTATAAACCATTTATTACATTTCCATACTGCTTATATAAACATGAAAATGATAAATAGGGGAGGTTAAAGTAAAGTGTTTAAGTTTAGAGGGGAAATGTATCTTTGGTTGAACCACTGACATATTATGGACTGAAACGTAACAAAGGTTAAAGATGTACCTTGTTTTTTTGTGAATCACAAGAGAAAAAGGTTTGAAACCACTGGTTTATTCTAAAACAATGTGTTGTATTTTATAACCTCATATGTTATCTATCTATACATGTTTTTATGTTTATGTAAATCTTAATATGAAGAGTAACTACAGAGCTTTCAGATTAATGTAATAGAGTAAGAGTATAAAGTTAGTAAGCTTAGTAGCGAGGTATGTGTACCTCAAAGTACTGTACTTAAGTACAGTACTTTTACAGTACAGCACTTTCTAATAAGCAACACTATAAATGGCTTATGATGGCTTTATCGATTGTTAATAACTTAGTTATTAAGTATATTAATGCCCTATTCACTCATAAGCCACTGATTTATTAATATCTTATTAGAGTAAAAGCTGTTTCATCAAGAGTATTTTTTAACTTCCCAAAGTGAGTTTGTGTTACTTATCACATTACTGCTAATTGAAGATACTTTATATGACTATAAACATACACCACTGACAATAACTGAGCAGTTGATTATTAAATTCTTTATGTAAATGCATCATTTTCTGTTTTTAAAGTCTTCATTGTTCTGTAGATCACTTTAAGCACCAATTCTCCATCAAGTGTGCAACACAAATAAATGATTGATGGAGCTTTGTCTCTTGCCGGCTCGACTGATTAATTAATTAATGCTAAGTATTGCTATGCAAAATGATTGGTTCAAGTAGTTTACGAAGAGATAAAAAGGATCTAGTGGGGTTGCCGGGTTACAAATCTCTTGCAGTTAATTGTGTGTGAAGGATATGCAGCCAAATGATGTTACGAGTCTAATTAGCTTGTTTATGATAATGGAGACTGAGCATTGCTGCTATTTATCTAAGATTTGCTAATGTTTAAAGACATTAATCATCAGAAATAATTGCTAATATTTTTACTTTTGACTCACAGTTTGAACTGGAATATAAATTAAACTATGAAACTAAAACCCATTCACATTTTCCTGTATTCAAACTCATTTCCTGTCAGTGTCCTGCCAAAATAACAACAGCAGTCCTTTAGGATGTGGCCTTCCCTCCTAAGATGAAAAACAAATCAGTGAAAATGAAGACTAAGCCTAATTTCAGCTAATGATAGACCAACAAGAAAACCAGCTGAGCGAATGTGTAGCTCACATCAGCTTCTCATTAGTGGTCAGTACCCGCCCTTCGCTCCATGCCATGATTTTCACCACTGCTCACTACTCCAGTACGAGGAATCCTCACATTAGAGACTTCACTGGAGTTGTTCCATCTGCTCTGAGGTCTGGCCATAAATATTCACCATTTATTACTTGGTGTCAGAGAAAATCGGTTTATCAGTTGCCTTTTCTCTGCTATTAACTCCACCAAAACAACTTAATTGCTCTGTAATTGATAAATAAACAAATAAATGATCAACATCCTTCACACGAAGATGCCTTTTATTTGTGTCATTGGAAAGCGATGGCCGTGAGGCAAAAACTAGACAAAATGTTCCTGTTTACATCACTGTCTTGCTGTAATAGTGCTTTCACATTACTTTGATGCAAAAAACAGATGTTGCTTCAAAGAGCTGCTTGTGAGGCTGCTGGTTTACCCTTTTAAAGCACGGCTGTGATGTAGATCTGACTGGAGCCGGGAAAAAAGAAAAAAAGTTGGGAGCCTCCGATTCTGGATCACAACACAAATATTCCCCTTTTCTTTTTAAGGCCTTGCTGTTTATTCATTTTTTTTCCTACAACAGCAAATTACAGAAGCAGTATTGAAAATAAAAGTCTTATTTTCTTGTTCTTGTAAAAAACAAAACAAAATCTGCACAAAATTTTAATGACAGTACAAAACGAAGCGTTAATATGCCATGTAAATGGTTGGGGAGGGACAGTACTGTTGGAAAATCTATTTTGCCTTTTTCAATAATGAAAACATCTCAATATTTTTACATTTCAGAATTATATCACATAATCTGAAACTATATATATATAAAAAAGATGAAAGAAATGAACACCTGTTTTTTGTGTTTTTGACTTTCTTCTGTTTTTTCTGCAAATGAACGCTATAAACACATAAACCTCTTAAATATATTTATCAGTGCAACATTGTTTCTTTTGAGTCCACGCTACAGTATCCTTTTTCTCTAGTTTAGCAGACGTCGCCGGAGCTACAGTCCTCTAGCTGAAAGCGCAGACGGTACGGCTTAGAGGTTGAGAGGAGCGGTGAGGTCGAAACTGAAATGAACAAGCTGTGTGTTCACCACGGCACGACATACAAAGCACACGGATGTAAGAGACGTCACCCTTCTCAGGATCAAGTTTTTGATTGTTTGATTGTGGTGCGGAAAAAACGCTGACTTCTTGCCCCTGTGGGCCCTTGCATCCTGATACTGTCAATATAACTTGGAGTTCATACAGAGTTCCCTTCCCCTCGTGGTGTCTAGCGGTGGGATTGTCCCATCCATCCATCCATCTGCAAACAAGAGTCTCAATAGAGATTTGAAGAGTTCACATTGAGGTGAGATTTGCACTTCTTTTAAGCTTAAAAAGAGATAGAAAAACAGGCTGTCACACATTGCTCTTCTCTACAAGTGTCCTATCATTCCCCCTCTTGATTTCCTCTCCGGGGGCTCTGACAGGGCGAAGCAAGTAGTCTTTTGTGAGTGATGACCGTTGGTGAACTGTGGTCTTATAGTATTTTGTGTTGGTGGGAACCCCCCCAGTGAACAGGAAGGGGGTAACCATCCTTTGGTAAAGCCACAGAGGGGAGGCCAGGTGACCTGATTCAGGTGACGCCACTCGATCCCCCCGCTGTACCAGTGTCCAGTCCTAATGACATCAGCTCTGACATCACAACGTTATGGCTGCTACACGTGAAACACGTAAAACTCTTTGCGGCCCGAGGAGGCCTTAAGCTACAATACAGCATGTGAACAATACAAACTGGGTTTATCAAGAGATAAATGTGTCTGGCTAAAGTAATGATAGCACCATTCTTCAGTTAGAGTGTTTACCCCTCGTTTAATAGGCTCCTATCATGAGGGAATCAGTCACAAAGTGCATTCAAGCTGCATTGTCCAGATAGCACTTCTTCAGTGAACAATCCACAGTGACGTTTGGAGGTGACAAGCTAGTCTAGGTCTTAGCTAAAGCAAAGCAATGATGATTACTGATTTTTTGGTATGCTGGCAGACATTTTGTATTTTTTACCACCTCCTCTGCCATCGATATGAGCGTGTTTGAAGCTACGTGAAAGTATTTTGGTGACCAGTCGAACTCACAGCGGAGCTACGATGGAGAAATGAGAGATTAATTGAGAATGAGTGCCAGGAGTTCATCATGTCAGCTGTTTTTTTGTTACCTTTTGACTCATTTCGTCCTTTCGGTGGTTTTCGTGAAGTGGGTGTTTCGATGACAGATGGCTTGAATGCACATTAAAAATCGCTGTAACATCAGCATCACACAAGTCTTACTCGTCTGAGCAAATAATCTAAAAATTAAAAACAATAACACTGCACCTTCCACAAAACAGTCAGAAGATTGTATTTACACACACACAAACCCATGAAAAAAGGGATACTGCAGCTTTTTTCCTTTTTACTTTCTTTAAAAAGGGCAATAAAATATATTAAAACTTATTTACAGTGTGTGGTTTTTGGACAGAAAACAACAAAAAACGAAACAAAGCGCTGTGATAGATTGTTTTCCTCTTTTGCAGGTATTTATAAGATAATGTGCCCCTGTTTCCTGTCATCATAACTTAAGCCATGTACAGTAAAAAACACCCAGGTCAATAGAGGAGGCCAACCAAAATGTACTAAAGGCACTGTCAGAACCATACATTGCCATGAATGGGACCCTCACTTTAGAGTGATACAGGTCAGAGGGGAAAGGGTACATGTTTCAGGGTCAAGGGTTATGGGCACACCCTGTATGCCACACCATAGGGCAAATCTACAGTTTTGCCGGATATGGTTCATTTACGATTTTTGATACGTCTCTTTCAAAACTTGAAAATAAACAACAGCCTTCATGAACTGATAATAAAAAAAACATTTCTTTCCCAGAAAACGATAAATACTTTAAACATTATTAATAAATTGGTCTCAACACCAGCATCCGATTGTAAAAATGAATGAAAATCAAAATAGAAAATTAAAATATCATTTAAATCATCTGTACATATTTTTTTCTGTATTTTATTTGTACACAGTGTCCCCTACTGGTAGGTTCTTTTTACTGCAGCTCCTGAGAAAAGCGTGGATCAGTCCAAACCTCCCATTGGTTCCTGAACCTGTCCCTCATCCAGCGAGTTGAGGGCGTCGGCAGTCCTTTGAGCCTGCCTACTCGCAGATATACGAGAGGATATGCCTACAGCCAGTCTTGTGCATGTTCTGCGAGCTCTGCACGCCATAAAGTCACACAAATGCACTCAGTCCCATCTCACGCCTCTGAGTATGAGCTCTGTACATTGAGTTTGTCCTTCTTTAGCTTGACCCCGTCCACTAGTTCAAAGTTATAGTTCTCCAGGGCTGATAAGTTCCTGTCCGACATGCCTCCGTGAGAGCAGGCGCAGTACAAGACCACACCGCAGATGGCACCCAGGAAGACCCCCAGGGCGGACATAGCGATGATGGTGATGAGGATGGGGTCGAGCGTCTTCAGCATGTTGCCTGCTCCGCTGATCTGGTTGGTCTCCACAAAGTCTGGGTATTCAGTGATCTCTTCAACTGGAGGGGAGAGAGAGAAGCAGAAGAGAAGATGTTAGGTATAACCATGAAGGGTCTGGAGGCAAAGAAATTTTTGCCAAAAAGGGATAAAGTTGAATAAACCCTCCATGTGAAATGACTTACGGATTTCATTAATGCGATCCTCAGGTAGCACTGGCTCAGTGGGTACATCGGGATCTGTTCAAACAGAAATTCTAATTATATTCAGTGCCAAAAGAAAACAAGCTACAGTCAAATCTGTGTAGTTTCAGATCAAGAACTAAATGCAGGCATTGAAACTGTGAACACCAAAAGCCTCACCTTTGCAATCGATCATGCTGAGTCCATTGAGAACCTTAATGTCATCCACAGCAATGTCTCCCCAGCTCTTTCCATCCACCAGACCTTCGATCACCACCTTGAAAAAAGCACAGAGGGGTTTAATGGCAACCTTTTCTTGAGGAAAGAGCACAGGTACAGTGGTATGCATGCCCAAACAAGTCAAAGACTGAAAGGTGGGTCAATTTTCATTTACCTGATAGGGTTTGTTGGTGCGCGGCACAGGGACACGACCTTCCCTCCAGCGGTTGCCTTGGTGACCGCTGACCGTCCACAGCAGGATGTCAGCTGGTCCGTCAACTGTCTGTTTGCGCTGTTTGATATGCAGTGTTCCAATATGTGACCCGAACATGTGGTACCAAAAGGACACACACAGGTCTGAGTCCGGGGAGCTGACCACGGGGCTGATGAGCCGAGCCACCTCGGTCTCTTGGGGACCTGTTGCTAAGGTGTAGATGAAATTCCCTGATCCACCTGTTGGACAAAATACTTGTATCACTGAGAGCTGAGGCTGAAATGTGACTTGTTTGTACTGCGTCAGGAGGGCGCAGATTTCTTGTATGGCCCAATTGAGCATAACCCTACAGGGTCCTCACCTGTGTGGTCCATGTTAGGTCCGGTGTTGAGGGTGGGAGTACCGCTGGACTGGATCTGCCACCTAGAGCCAGTGTCCTCTGATGTCCAGCTGCAGAAGGAGGGGTCATTGGCCCAGCCGAAGTCGCAGGCAAACCACAGAAAAGCTGCAAATGAGTTGTAGAAAGGTCAATATCATTATGTCAGAGGAGATTACATTTCATCATTCTCCTTATTACAAAAGGAGAAATTGCCAAGAGCTCTGGGCTTTACCCGAACAATGACCTGGGGGCCTGTCATGATATGACTGCAGGCTACATCCACTCATCCTGATCAGCTACAAGCACTAGAGGGCAGCAAAGAACTGTGGGACAGAAGCTTAGAGCCCCAAAGCTGGGGAAGATAAAAACAGCTAACTCAGGAGGGAGAAGCAGACTGGGATAGAAGGCGAGTTATGGCTCTGACAAGAGAAAAGGAGCAAACCGACAGCCTAGACCTCATGCAGGCCTTATTTCTTGGCTGCAGTTAATGATCTCTTTTAATGAATCTAACAGGGTATATGAAGAGAGGTAGAGAGGGACACTAAGAACAGGAACAGCACAAAGACGGGGACAGGGGAAATGGAAGATGGGGTCTGGACATGGTGTCCAGTTGAGAAAGCAACATTCATAGCAGCCCGCAGAGAGCTCAGGATTTTAATGAGAGCAGAGACTTGAGGTTTGAAGACAGCTATGGTAACAGTGCCGGGGCCCCATTCCAACAATGCATTCCCCCGTGGACACATGCCGCGCTGAAGAAGCCTCAGTGGAGGCAAGAAAATGTGTGGGAGCTCAGGCTTTAGTGTTTTTCAAATTGGATAAAGAAAGACTTCCAAGGAACACAAGGGAGCGAGATGTTTGGGACGTCAGCCATGGCCTTAAACTCCGGCATGAGATGCCTTTAGAGATACAATGAGGGAGCTCTCCAAATGACAGAATACATGAGCCAATATTTCCTTTAATAATGGGAAGATTTTAACTAGCTTCTACAGGCAACGACTCTATTTACCCATTAAACACAAAGGATGGAATTCCCATGTGGGACCGCATTTCAGACGCCAACCCACTTTTTTCGTCGAGACATCCCATTCCCAATTAAAAAAGCTTTGGCTTTTTTTCCCATTCTTGGGAGACATTGACTGAGGCTACCAACAAGCTCTGGATAAGATGAGCAGCCACATGACTCACTTGGCCATTTGATGAAAAGAAAACGAGACTTTTTCTTGCTGAATGCCAACGGAAACTACATCCTCTGAGATTAGAGTACACGGCACGCACGCAGACACCCAAACAGACACACACAAATACACAGAAGTGATTAGAATGCGTGGTGTGAGACTCTAGAAATGAAAAGTTAGACAGATATGTGTTTACCCACAGACATTTCCTTATGTTCATTCACACACAAATATGCATACACCTGCACCTCAGCTCTCATCTATTATCATGGCTGGTGCCCCAGCAGACTGCAGACAGACCACAGAGCCAGCTGACAGAGTGAAGGGGGCTGGGTGGAGCCTATGGCCCATTAGCCAAGGTCAGACTGGGGCACAGCCTCTCAGCTGGCTGCTGCCTCATCAACCTGCTATAGGAGACAGCACTATGTGTGTGTCTGCTCATGTGACCCCCAAAGCACACCTCATTTCCTGTGGTCATTTGCATTGTGCTTCCCTGTTTTTGTGTTGTGGTGTGTGTGTATGTGTGTGTGGTGTGTGTCAGTGTCGGCCCAGTGATTAGTGATTATGCTGAGAAGGCAGCAACAGAGCACCAGGGCTAATCATCAGCTAGCCCTGCATCACACAACCTCCCTCACCCTGTCAGCGGGTGCCTCTCAGGGCCATATCATCAGCTTTAATAACAGACACACATCAGAGGAGAGAGGCCGCCTTGAGCTGGCAATCATTAGCTAAGGTAGGCTTCTTGATAAATCTATGGTAATGAATTCCAAAAAAAAAAAAACCTTGAGCAATTAAATATTTACTCTATATTTCAAAATTCTGCATTGCGGTCAGACTTTAGTAAGATGTGGAATCGTTGATGGGAAAGAAACAGACTGATCTTCTGCTCACCTGGTATGGTATCCACTTCAGTAGTGGTAGTCTCTGGCATCATGGTACCACCTGCCAAACCACAACACAATAGCATGGTTAGCCTAGCCTGGCAAGAGTTAAGTTTCTTTCTAAATAACTGCACTCATGCACCAAATGTATTCATGATAGCTAAATTTAGCTAATCAACACATGCAACGTCTGTCTCTTCATTCCCCTAAGCTCCCTGTCTCGGATCATCTACCATGAAGCACTTGTGTAATACTTTAAAAACACGTGACTGAGGTGGTGCCATGCTCATCATTGGAGACTGCTGGTTAATGAGGAGTGCAGGCAGCAGTGCAGGCTCGGAGAGTTACTGGGTTAGTGGGAAATGAGGCCGAGAGGAGTGAGTGGAGAAAGAAGGTGCAGGAGGACAGGGCAGGTGAGAGATGAGAGGATAGAGCGAGGCAGAGCTGGCTGTTGGTAGGTTCAGAGGCAGGTGTGTGTGGATGTGCACACTTTTGGCGATATCTGGTGCAAGTGCGACAATCCTCTCCTTTGAGTGTGGGGGGGTGGTGAGTGCTACAGGTGCAGCTAATTAGAGCTGTGTACATGCCAGCGTGGCCGTGGGTGCATGCATGCGTGCAAGTGTCCGCAGTAGATGGCAGATTAGCCACGGTATCAAGTCTAACTGTGACAGTGAGCGGTGAAGCTGAGACAGTGGAGCGGATCGAGTGTGAGCCATAGCAGAAGGAAGGGCAAGGGGGGGGGGGTTTGCTTGCAGTCTCATGAGGGCGATGTTAGCACCTGTCACATCGTAGTCATCACCTGTGCCGCTGTGGCAGCTCGCCTGGTCGTCGTCACATTCGTCCGACGGAGTAGTGCTCGGGACTAGTGTAGTAGGCGGGAGTGTAGGAGCTGTAAAGGTTAACAAGAAGAGAGGCAGGGTTAGAGGGACAGTGCTGCAGGGTTTGAAATCATATTATATTCATTTGGACACCTTTAAACTACCCCATACTCCATTAAAACATGATGGGGACAAGAGCTAGATGTCATCAAAAACTGGCAGTGAATACTTCTCGAACAAACTGTGTTCAGAGTGCTAGCATGGGGTGTAGATGTAGTCTGAAAAAGATTTCAGCCTGCTTTATAGTTTAAATAGAAAATAGAAAAAAAATACTTAAATATGTATAAGTACGCTCAGCATGTTCTGCCCACAGTTACACACTTCAATCTAGGCCTGAGCTATTAGCATCCCTCCTTTTATCATGCTGTGGAGGTGTGGGTGTATAAATAGAGTTTATGCCAAAGAATGGTGCTTAGGGCTTGGGCTGCTGAAACTCAAAGATGCAGAAACAGGGCTTGGGATTGGCAATAGGCAGGGCCCCTGGCTGCCAGAGTGCCCTATCATTATGGCCCCGCTGCACTTGGATGTGGGCATGGCCCTAGATCCACTCCACGTTTCGCTGCCGCACAGCCGTCATGCGGTGTGCGCGCATTTGTGTGTGTTTACACTGACTGAGTAATGAACGGGCTTCCCCAGTGTAGAGGGAGGAGAAAGGAAAAGGAGAAAGGTGGAGAGGGAGACAGACAGAGACAGATAGGGGCACACTGCCTGAAAAATGTATGTGTACAGTATGTGTGCGCGAGATTGTGTGTGTGTGTGTGTGTGTGTGTGTGTGTGTGTGTGTGAGCCAATACTCTCGCTCTCTCCCTCTGCTAGATGAAATATGAGGCAGATCAGCCCCTGTCAGATTCAGGGTGGGGAAGGTCAGGGTTGGGGTCAGTGCAGCGTCAGGAGAGCCTCTCACAGAAATGAGGATTTAGCCCTCCTGCTATGGCTTGCCACACACACACACACATGCTTGTACACCCTAGTACAAGCACCTGTGTATGTGCGTGGTTGTGTATACATGGCTGTAACCACATGTTTGGCAGGGTGATTGTGGTTGCTCTGTGTGTGCACGTCTGTGTGTGTTTGGCATTAACACTGAAAACAAGCATTATCATCTGACTAAAGCTCCCGGTGGGAGTCCATGAGGCTTACAGCAGAATGGGCCTCCCTGAAATCCAATATGTAAATCCACTTAGGGCTAGTGCTACACACTCTTATACAGCTGAGCTGTTTCTGTGCTACATCAGCTTTGAGAGAGACAGATAAAGAGCTAGAAAAAAAATAGGGGTAATTTTAAAGATAGCAAAGTGTGTGCGGCCCTTTGAAAGACGAAAGAAATGCAAGGGTTGGAAAGAGTGAGATGGGGGCCAGGCTGCAATAATCCTACTGGGCCAGGTGGGCTTTCATTTGATCCCCTCTAGAAGTGGCTATCTATGGGGGCAGCTTTGATGTAACGGGGAGACAAGACAACTGTCCCTTGTAGGGATAAAGTGCAGGAGCTGGACAGCTGTGTGCTCAACACAGAGAACCTTCACACACATCTTAAAATAACCCTCGACTGTGGCAAAGACAGTTCAAGCAACTTGCAGCCGAGTCCTTAGCTGGGATGATAGATGGCTCACCTGTGTATGCGTTAAGAGACGTCAGATGTGAACACACTTAAATGCAGTCTGTGAATGACTGTACGGAGTCAAGGTGTGCCTAGTAAGGTTGTCATCGTGGGCAGAAAATTCATACTGCGACTAAAAATGTTAAGACATAATGGCCGGGAATAGTGATGTCAATGCCAGTTGAGTTTCATTACTGTGGTTTAAAGCATTACCACAGCTGGAAATGTCATCAACATTGGAAAAGAGATTTTACTTTTGGTAGTAACCTTGCCGCCCCTGGTATATACGCCATTACTGCTAATAGGGAACCACCAGGTAGAAATGCCTGTGCATATTTTGCACCAAAAAGTGATAATTTAGATGGAACACAGACATAGCAAGAGATTTTAATAGAAGTTCGAACTCAGGTTACCTTCAATCTCGCAGCCAAGGAGCTCAAGTCGAAGGCCCATGCCAGCGGGAGTGGCCCTGTCTGGATAAATTCTGATGAAACGGGTCAGCAGGGGCTCCACTGTCCTCAGCTCAGGAGTGTCGTAGTTGCTATTCCCTTCAAATATCTGGCAGGGAAAAGGAGAGAGGGTGGAAAGAAGGGGACAGAAACAGAGAGTGAGTCAAAAAGCTCAATATTGCTGATAATGTCACTGCTGGGCGTTTGACTGATGCAGCTCTCCAAGCGCAGATACCCTGAGGCAGACTTATTCCTGCCTTCTAAAAACCAGATGTGAGGTGGAGGGGTGGCATGTGCTGGGTAGAAGGAAAGATGATGGTAAAGAACAGAAGATGACCAGCTCCCTCTCATCTTGGTGACTTCTAAAGCACAGCTTAGGCAAGTGACGCAGGAGGCCAATGGCAAAGACAGCATGACGCACACCTCTGTCAAAGGCAGCGCTCGGCTCCTTCAACTTTGCCTCAGATCCTCCTCAAGCAAAAGAATAAATGAGGGAAAAGAGGAGAATGTGGGCGCAAGAGAAACAAGCAAAGGAGGAGATAGAGGATTGATGGAAGTGGATTAATAGGTGTGATCACGTGAAGGAGCCTGGTGCAACTTGGATGCTGGGAACCTCTCAGGCGAGGGGAGAGAGGCAGCTAACTAGGACAGGGGGGATATGGATCCTCCTTACTCCCTTCATAAATCAACCATCAGCCCATCTGGATCAGATTTATGCCCTGTCAGGGACGCTTGTAATTGGGGATGGGGCTGTTGCAGCTCTTCTTGGAGGTGTGTGTGGTTGTGTATGTGCTCGTATACATACATTCTTTGTGTGTAAGCGTGTGCATGCATTGAGCGAAGTGTCTTATGTGCGTGCGATGACACTGGCAGATAAATCTTGGGTCACTGCTCTATGTTGCGTGTTCTTTCCTCTCTCATCTTCGTCTTTCCCCTTCCCTGTTTTCCCCTGACTCCCTTCACCCCTCCTTCCTCTCTGGAGAGGTTTCACTATCCATTGAAAGGGTTGAACGGTGTGTCTTGTGCAGAATACAAAGCAGGAAGCGAGAACGGGGAAAGGACTCTGAGAGACTTGAGATGCTTATCCTAATGTGATTCAAAACACTACTGAAATTGACTCGCAACAAATGCTTAATGACTCACAACTGCAAGGCGCAACGCTCTGGTGAGAAGTGACTCAACACGTCATAATCGGAATCGATGTTTTAACGTATCTGAGTGACATTTTTAGAAGCATGTATTCAAATCCTTTTCCACATAGTGAAGGTCAAACCTTCCTTTTGATTTGTCAAAGTCATCTAACCAATTTCCTTGAAAGAACTTTAGCTAAAAATAAAGAAAGCATTAAGGGTTCTTTGGTTAGGGTTACTGAACCAATATCTTAGTGATTTTGGACATCCCAACGCATTGTTCAAGGGTACAGTTGCACATGATCAACATCTCACCTTTGGCTTGTTCCCATTGGTGTCCAACACCATCCTATAGTCGGAGCCATTGTTGCTGTAGCCGAGGCGGAACTTCTTCATAAAGACTTTGTTCTCACGGTGCTTCCCTCCCTGGATGATCAACCCCTTCACCAGCTTCTCCTCACCAAGATCCACCTGTAGCCATTCGCTGGTAAAGGGCTGGGGCTGGGGCAGCAGGGTCCACCCCGTCCTGCTGGTCAGCAGGCGGGCGTTCTCTGGTACCCAGCTCCGGTCCGTGTGGGAGGATGCAGTGATCTGGTTGTCAGTGATCAAACCTGATACCATGCCCAGCATGCCCGAGCATGGGTACTCTGAAAGACAAAAGGGAAACCGAAAAGTGCTTAGCTTTTTGATATGATGGAAACCTGCAAAGAAGACGGGTACATGGGTAACAAACGACTTAATCTATATCCAAAGGCTTGATGTTCAACATCATTTACCACGCCAAAGTCTAGTTTGGTGAGTTTCAGGTTCATACAGGGGCAACAGGGACAGTGAAAGTCAAAGAGAGAAGGACAATTCCCCAAACTCTTTGTGATGTTACTGTGATCTCTCTCTCTATTCTCTGTTCTCTTTCTCGTTCTCTCTCTGTCTGCAGATCTCATGCATACTAATTCCTCTGCCTGAAGCGGTTGTCTCCAGGCAGCCAATTAAAACCCTCCTCTCAGTTGGTGCTTCCACGTCCTGCATTCGAGGAGCGCCTTTTCTTTTCATCTCTGTTATCCACCCCCTCCTCGCTCTATAGACTCACATATACTCACACACACAAAAACACATTCTCTTTGAGTTTTATCTTCTGCTGCACTCATCTACCTTCTGCTCCACAGCTGTCAACATCTGTGGGACTGTGTCTTTTAATACCTCGTCGTTTCCTGTCCACATTTTCAAACTTTCTTCTCCTCCTTTTATTCCATGTCTCTGATCTGATTCTACCCCAATTCTCCGTAGGTTTTAGCATATTTGGATGCGTTTCCCATTCCTTTTCAAGAGCAGACAACCATTTTCTTACTTTTTCACATCCTTTTTTCTTGATGCCATCCCTCCATATCAAGAACTGAACAGGAAAACAACCTGTTGCTACAGCTCCGAAGCACTTGCATAAAAGATTTCTTTTTACTTTCCAGTTCCCCACAACCTGATTTCTACTTAGCAAAGTACCAATTTTTGAACACAAGTACCAGTTTTTGCACTTAACTAGTCCACCTGTGGTCCACATAAAAAAGAACCCGAATGGTCTATTTTTAATGTTCGACTCATACATTGAATTTGGACATCAGGTTTTCAAGGCTGCTTTGAGGAGACAGTAGTATACCCTGCTGTGAATTGTACCTGGATTATTTTTTGTTTTTTGAAAATGACCACAATGAACAAACAGATGAGTTTAGGTAGATGCAAATACATTATTTGCTCATATTCATGTTCAATTATATTCATGGTATTCAGGATTTAATGGTGCTAGCAGTCACAACTTTAGCTTTAGCTCAAAGAGCATATGTCAATAAATATTATACACTTCTGAAAAACATCAAGGAGTAAATGCTATATAATGATATATGCAGACACTGGTGCCTTATCATTCTGCCTAACTTCACACACATCTGCACTTAGAATACAGTATAAGTAGAACAGACTGGAGCTCATTACCCACTAGAAGTGTGATTAGTGATAAATCTTCTTGTCTGTCTATTCCTCGAACACTTAATCTCACGACACTGAGTCAGGGACCTGTGGTAAGCAATAACATATTTACTGTCTGGCTCCCGTAGAGGGTTACATCCGGGCATTATTACATCTTCTGAGTCTGTTTGAAACAAAGTGTGCACTGTGCATTGTACCGCTGCAGGACTCAATAGCGAAGCTGCATCTGGGAAAAGAGGGCGAAGACATGGAGAACAAGGCCTCATTCAGACTTTTCTTTCTCTGGTTATCTAAAGCAACTCTTATGCAGACCCGTGAGACACATCTCTGGTCCTACATTCTAGAAAACCGGAGCTCAAGGAACAAATGCTGGCGGTGCAGAAGACTTTCAACTGTTTTCAAAGTTTTTCTACCTTCTTCCTCTTTCGTCTTCGGCCAAGATCTGTTTGAGAGTGATCACAGGAGCTAGCCTTTGGTAGTGCAAAGCTAAGGCACTACACATTGGCCGCCTTTGAAGTGGGAGGATATGAGAAAAAGGTATATGTGTGTGATTGAAAGTGTATGTGTGTGTGTCTGATCTGAGTTGAGACACTTGGGTGAACTCCCTGTGTAATCTGGAGCTCTTAATCGACTTCAGCTGCGATCACAGAAGCTTCAGAGATGGCACGCACGCGATGACACACCCAGAGGAACAAACATGTGCGTGTGTTTGTGGACTGTAAGCCTGTAGATGGTGATACATGGCTATGCTGACCACATTATGGCTTTGGGTGGAGCATCAGTGGTTCATCACAGATATTTATATACGGTGGCATATTTACAAACAACTGGGCGGTGGATCTTGTTATTAATGAGTAGCTGTTTGTATCAGCAGGGGCACACGACCATGATGATTTAGTGAAAAAACATCTTGCAACATTCTGGGGTGCAACTCCTCCTCTAATCTGATGCCTTAGGCACTTAGAAAAAATGCACTTTAGAATAGTTTTAAATAGCTCCACACATTCTGGGGCCCTTTTTAGGATGCTACTATGGCAACACTTTTCAAGAAATGTGGAGCTGCACTAAAAAGCCCTCCATATTTCTTTCAGCAAAAGTTTTCCAGTAAAGTTTTGGTATCAGGGATTCATAACTCAAGGTAAAGCGGAGTGAGTCATTGAGTTTATGCAGCCCTCAAGAGCCTCACAAGTTCTCTCTCAGACTGTATTGCTAGCATGCAGTGGAGCTGGCAGTGTCTTCAGAGCACCCAGGGGTGCTGACGTCCTTACGGAGGCCCTGTGGTGACTTCGATCCTATGATGTGTTTACGCTCTGCGCAGCGGTCTGGTACTGCGCCTGAAACACACGCCCCAGCTGTAACCCTGCTGTACCCACAGTGCCTTGTCTCTGCCATTACATGAACGGCCACACATATTTACTCCAAACACACACATAACATTCAGACGCTTCGGATATGAGCGCATTTAGCTGACTACAACTAATCCTGACCCTAACTTTAATCCAAGGCTTAATCCTGCACTAGCATTAGTGACACAACATTGCTGTTTTTTTCCTGTCCTTTAAGATATATCCCTATCCAAGTACAGAAGAACAAAACACACATGCAAGCACTAATTAACATTCAATAAACATGCTCATAAACCCATAGAGAAGCAGACAGATGTGCTAAAACCATATGAAAGTGAGCCTCACACACACACACACACACACACACACACACACACACACACACACACACACACACACACACACACACACACCACTCATTAAAACAACATCGACGAAAAGGCGAAGATGAGAAGAGCTTTGCCAAAATCAAAGCTCTGTAAGCAAAAGACAGACTGTGGCTAAAGAGAAGGCTGAGACCGGATCAGCAGGAGGGATGGGACCATATAGATCCCACCCAGCTCCAGCTCTCTCTGCCTGCCAGCTGTTGGCTCCATTTATATTGAATGAGGTACATCTAAACGTGGGGTAACATAAATAGGTAATCCTCCTTCATGTGCCACTCCTCTATTATGCAGCAGCTTGCTTTAGCCTTAGAGCAGGACTCTCACAGAAATAGAGCATCATCTCACACCTGGCAGGAGTGTTTGTGCAACTGGGACCGGGATTGCAAATACCAAGTATGTTGTAACAAGAACAGAGCTAAACCAACACGAGGACATGTGCAGAAATCATGAACAGGGTCAGTGGCATCATTTGATTATTGCATTTAAAGCGGTTTAGCATTTTGCTAGAATATATCCAGTATAATGGAGAGCTGTGTGTGAGCAAAGATAGAGCTGAGATGTGTGTGTGTGTGTGTGTGTGTGTGTGTGTGTGTGTGTGTGTGTGTGTGTGTGTGTATATATATGTATGTGGATCAGCAGGGATCCCAGCAGTACCAACCTGATATCTTACATCCATACACCTCGAAGCGCAGTGCAATGCCTGTTTCCCAGGTAACGGGACGGATCCGGACGAAGCGCGTCAGCGTGGGTTTGGGCAGCATCGTCTTGGTAACGTCTGTTGGGTTGGTGTTGCCTTGGAAAACCTGTGATCAAGGCAGAGAAAAAGTAAATTATTGACAGAACACGTTGAATTGAGATGCAGGGTGGAAGTTTTTCTGTGAGACCATGGCCACATTGAATGCAGACACAGAGAGCCGAGGCAGGCGAAGACTCAATGGGGTTATGATGCTGTAAGTATTGTCAAATCTGAAAATCGTGATCGGCCTTGCTGACTTTGAGTCAAGGTACTCACACAGAGTTGGAAATATTAATACTTAACACTCTTTACACTATGCTGTGTAACTTTTATTCATGAGACAAATGTCACATTTAAGATTGATTAAACTGATTTCCCTGTCACCCCTGAAATTGCCCTAGCACTTCCTCCTGTGCCACATGTTGCAGCACTAACAGGCCACGGCCTGTGACTGTGAAACCTGAGGCAGTATGTATAACACTGACAAGACCAGACTGGCTCAAGATGCCCTTTTCCTGTCCTCTGGTTCCAGATTTGGTCGAGGTTTTACTGCAGTGTCTTGTTTAAAGGTCAGAGATGTCACTGTTCTCCCCTGGGGTGGGTTGACAGTTTACTAGCACCATACGACGAGGCTGGCCACCCAGCAAAACAACTCCTCACAGTCCATCGCAGTTCATTCTGTGTAATTGAATCACACCGATGACCATACGACCTCCTGACCTCCCTGACAGAGCTAGCTATGGGGCAGAGAGGAATCCAGCTGAGAGGAGCAGGATGGACAGACAGACAGATAGAAAGATAACAGTTGCCTATGCCTCTGGAATCCAGTCCCTGAGCAACACCTGTCAACCACGTCACTAAGGGACCCTGCAACAAAGTCATCCACTCTCTTAAATGTCACACAGAGGCTCCTCTCCACTTGCCAGTAGAGTGGCTTTTTCCAGAGCTGCGCTAAGACGCCAAACTGCAGGCTCAGCATGTAGCAAATGGTGCCCCTCCGCACAAAAGCACTTTAGCGTGCGGAAAAACAGAGTCCGGGCTTACCACGGCACCTTTAAGCCCCCACTTTACAGAAGGGACTGTGTACTTCAGAGAGACCATAAAAGAATCAGGCCCGGGGGCATGTGTACACTGCAGCACAAACATGCTCGTTTGGATGCTCTGTTGTTGTTGAGACATTTTTTTGTTCCACTTGCGGCTTCGTCTTGTGGTATTTGCATGTCACACACACAGAACTGTCAGGCGCACACATGCCTCTCTGAGCCTCCGGACACCCAAAGTGGGGGGTGTGTTTGCTTCCAGATGGACAAAACCTGGTCTATTTGACGGGCTGATCAGCAATCAATGGTTACAGCCTGTTGCGCTCCGGTCAAGCATGCCAACCCGCCCTTCCTTTCTCTTCTCCTGGACCCACCTCGACCAGCTGCTCAAACATGACAGCCTCTCTGGTTTCTTTCCATCCCTATCGCCTTTAACTCTTGTTTGTCAAGTCCTTTGTCATCCGTGTTTCTTTTACGACGCGTTGACGGGTGCCTGACATAAAACAGTGGCTACATTCCTTACATAATCCTCCCTATACTACTGCAGTGCTGTATTAGCACTGCAGTCTGTGCTCGAAGTACCATCCACTTACACAGACTGTGGGTATATTACCATACTGAGGAAAGTGTATAATTGCAACTTGAGAGACAGAGACTCAAGTACATATAGCTTGGTATTCCCCCTTTTGTTGAGCTCAAAGGCAACTTGGAGGAGACCACAATTCAAGTCAGCTGGCTGCTTTACCAACATGGGTTATTCCAAGTGCAGCACATGTGCAGGGTTGGCTTTAAGGCAAAATACATAAAAATAAAGTATTTTTATCATCTAGTCCGCTCTGTCGCAGAGCTAGGGGGTGCAAAACTACGCAAGAAAGTTAGCAGAGCTTCATGTTTCCAGATCATTTCTCTGTAAAGTAAGTCATAACTTCTAGCGAGATGATGTCACTGCTTAACTCACAAAAGTTGAGAATAGAGTCTCCTACCTTTTGTTTGGAGCCTTCCTTCAAAGTGATCCAGTCCTCTCCATTAGAGCTGACATCCACTTTGTAGGACTTGACAAAGTAAATCCTCCGGGTCTCCTGGGAAATGGCGCCCTGGGTGCCTATGGCTGAGACAAATCGCAAGAACCCGAGGTCCACCTGCGGAGGATAAACAAAGAGATGAGACAACTGAGACAAAAAGGGCTTAAAATGATTTATCATATGAAAATTCCACAGGAGCTGGAAGAATGACAACGTTTTCCCTTTCAGTGTTTAGGAGAATGCTGATTAACCAGAGCAGATACATGTGAAATACAGCGCTCTTTGCCTGTTCAAATGCATGAATAATTTTTGCAGAAAAGGCTTTCAATGTACGGCCTATATTAATAATGCACTGACAAGCTGGAGAGTTAAAAATATAACCCCACTATTAGAATCACCTCTGGCTATAGTCTCATCAGCTGCTACCTGGAATTTAATAAACAGCAATGAAATGATATTCACATTAATGAAAGAGACACAGCATGACAACTTAATTTCCTGAGATGGGAGACAAGAGCTTATTGGATAAAAGTGAATGTTGAATAAAGCGGGGTCTGCAATCACATTATCAGAACTGGCCAGGAGGAAAGAGAGATACAGATTGAATATCAAATATTGTGCCTTTAAAATATGCAGGGCTTTATAAAGTAATCATGAACTGCGGCACATCACTGGAGGGCTATTTTATTTTCACGAGGAGACAACCAGAGGCGGTGGGGTCAGAGAGGCACGTGAGTCTGTGTCTGTGTGTACTGTAGTCGCGTGAATGTATTTTTCATGTGTGTGTGCGCTGCATTTAGAGCTGATGCTGGGCAGAGAAAGTCACTGGTTTGCATCAGACCTGGTAAAGGAGCCCTGTCTCCGTCTGCCAACCATCATGCTCATTGACAACCATGACCATTACTGCCAGGAAAGGGAAAACACACACAGAGTCTCTCTATATGTCACCCTGCCTTCTGTGTCTGTGGTAAGAATAGCCTCCAAATTGGCTTTTGATTATGTTAATGCTGCTGTCTGTTGCTGTTGCCCAACTTTACTGGGACTATAGGGCCCTGACTAGGAGCCTGGATGTGAGATCAGCTATCGCTACCTTTGAGATACACACCAGTGATAACAAATTGCCTCCCTTCGACCTCTGTTGTTGCTACTTAACCCAACCGTACCATCCCTTCATCCATAACGGAGGAAAAGAGAGGGTGTAGTGTTAAACTGAAAGGCTTTAAAAAGGAATGCCAACTCCTCAGTGTATGAAGCAGCTTGCTTAATTTTAACAAGCGATAACACTGTCTCTGACAGGCTGAGTTGACGTTAATGAGGAGTAATGGTGTTGCGTGCAGACGGCACTAAAACGCGGGAGCGATGCAGGAAGCCGGGGCGTTGGCTGGAACAGGTTTCCAGATCACGATGTGAGATGAGGCCTTTGATGTTGACGTGCGACGGGTTCGGGCTCTGATGAATGGCGACCAGAGTCTTGAGTGGATTACTGAGATTGACACAGAGGAGATCATCGGTATGTGCATGTGCAAGGGTGTGCAAGAAAGAAGGACAAGTGAAATCTTTTATGTGAGAGTGAGCCGACAGACGCAGAAGCGTGCACATATTTTAGAAAATCAAAGCCAGGGTGATCTGCCTTCAAAAATCTCCCCAGAGCTCCAGCATGTTAAAACCATACAGTCAGAGCCAGCCAGCTTTGTCTGCCAACCTTATATCCAGTACTGTGCCACACTTAATGACTCAGAGCAAAAGAGCAGGAAAGGAACATCTGCATGCCACAGAATGCTGGTCATTCCCGCTCCTCAAATTCACTTCCAGAAGTAAAAAGACATAAACAGATGGGAGCAATAAATGAGGTTCCACCGTGCTATTCTCTCACTCTCTCTTGGCTACTCAAAGGATTTGGATGGATGGAGACTAACAAAAAAGACAGTCACGTATAGAGACAGAATACTTTTGTTCCTGTCTACAGGCTCAAGGGGCTTATACAGTAAGTCCCAGATTTCTTTTGGGTCCACAAATAGAGACAAAATCAAATCCCTTCAGCCTCAGATGGTACCCATTTAATAACGCGGGAGCTGAATTCCTCTCCTACCTCTCCTCTCTGCTGGGTAAACGGCCATATATGCCAGTGCTGGACGACGCAAGCACAGAGGATGGCAGCGAGGCCTGTGCCGGCGTATATTAGCCCAGGCAGGTCTTTAACGTCTGTGTTTAAATGGCCAGCCTGACTCATTTCCAACCTGGAACAATGGCGATGCGGCTTACTGAAAAAGCTCACATAAAAAAGGTCTATTAGGAATTCTTGGCCTTGGGATGTTTTCTCTGAACGGATCTCATTAGGTGTAATGGAGAAGAAGAGCCTCTGGGAATGAAATGAGTGGCGGGGCTAATTGGGAACACTCATGGGCGCTCAGACTCAAACAATCTCAGAACCTGAGCATGCTGAAATATGGGTGGTTTGAAGAGGGTTGGATTGATATGACTTTAATCAACGTTCTGGGCCAACTGGAAAGTTTTTTTTTGCAAATTAATGTTTTTATTGAAAGGGTTCTGTGCCTTTGGGTGTGGTGAACTGAAGAGCTGAAACTTTCATAACTTTGTTCAACAGTTTTAGGGTCACACAAACCACAGAGGTGCTGGGGCAAACAGAATTAATGTAATTTTTGAAAGTTTTTGGCACAAAAGCTCAAATTTAATGATAGAGAATATACGTGACTGCATCAGGGTAAGCTGTGACGGGATGTGACAAGGGGAAAAATGATGAAAGACCGCAGAAGGAATGGAAAGAGGAAAGACGTAGAGGAGAGCGGAGCGGAGAAGGTCGAGAGGGGAAACCAGCCGCTGACAGTGATGCCTCAGAAGATGTGAAGGACAGAAGCATGGGGTCTCTGGTGAAGAAGTGCACAAGCTAGATCAATTTCACAGACAAGGGCTGATAACAGAGCCTGGGTAATGAGCAGAGCATGATTTATTAATGGCTGCTTGTTGGAGGCAGAGGAACGAGGCAGAGGCTGTGCTAACAGGCCGGGGTTGCGTGGGTCAGGGAGAGAAGAAGGGCTGCCAGGACGCTTGGATGTAAAGCACAGTCCGTCCCACACCACAGAGACCACAGTGAAAACAAACAGGCTAAGATAATGATTACTAGTGGGACTCCTTTTAGCCCAGAGCCACAGACAGCACTAGCTGACCTATATACATAAACCAATAACCAACATCTAGAAATCGCAAGCAGTGCAGAGTGGATCTTGGGTAAATAAATCACTCTCAGATGATAAACCATTTGTCATTGAGCCCTGAAAGGCTGAATCATGCTTAATGGGTGATGTAATCACTGTGCAGAAAGGTGTGAATTATGACTCCTAATCTAACGTCTATAGGGATGTGCTGCATTTTGAGACTTTGCTGATCCAGCAGAATGAAGCTGGTGTCTGTTTCACATTCACCATATTGTTATTTCTACTATGAGAGTGCGTGTTTGGACTGAAGCCCACCTATAGACAAATGACACTATGCATTCTGGGCATGGTGGTACACAGTAACTCATATCTGGAGGGACACACATACTCTGAGCCGTAAACATGCCAGGCAGGGTAAGAAATCACCGCACTTCTCAGAATCTTTCCATAGAGCGACAGCAGGCTGATATGTGGGCAGGACTTCAATGTGTCCTTGTCTCCCAGGAGTTTTTCCTGCCGAAGCACAGTCCAAAAAATGTTTGACTCTGTACAGTATGTGTGTGTGTGTGTGTGTGTGTGTGTGTGTGTGTGTGTGTGTGTGTGTGTGTTTTCTGGGTGTGCTCTATCTTCCTGTTGTGAGGCAAACTGATGATTCAAAGCCCCTTGCCTCACAACAGCCAGTGTACATGGCTCCAGTCGTTTTACTGACTAATGAAACCAGAAAGGCAGAAAAAGAATTAGTCGTGCTCGGGCTTGTAACATCAGCCAGTTAAAGCCTGGTGTGCATGCAATTAGATCAACATCCTGAAATCCACATCAGGCATTCGGATGAGGCGTATATATGTGTGGGAATACATGATGGGGAATGACAGACCAACAGTGTATTTATGTATTTATGTGTGTTTGTACAAGTTTGAGGAGATAATTTTCCAATTATCCCTTAACAGCAGTGGCAGCTGTGGGCGTGATCATTAGGTCTATTCGATACTCAGTGTATTGTCTCTGGGCTGCATGACTCAGATGTGCAGCAAGGCCACATGATATGTATTTGAGGCTAAGTCCTAGTCATTGTTGTGTGGGTGCAGTCAGGAGACATGTGGTTTATAAGGCTGGGGAGGCGGAGCGGGCGGTTGGGGGGGCATCCAAGAAAACAGCAAAGGCTCGAAAGCTTTATCTCTCGCTGCTTGATTGGCTTATAATTGAGTTGCCAAGAAGTTGTATGCAGCAATCCGTACTCTGGGAGAACTTTACTGAATACTTTCTTTTAAATCCATTTCTCTGCTCCCCCAGCAGAGTGGGGAAAAATAGCTTCCCGTCTGTGTGTGTTGTGTGTGTGGGCTGCTGACTGAATAACCGAGGCCTCTGGGGAATGAGTTTATTCGTTTTCCCTCACCAAAAACAACAACAAGAGAAATGCCGAGGGTGAGAAAGGAGGGAGCGCTTCTTTGTGCTCCAAAGTCAAAGAGCAGCTGTTAGACATAGACAGAGACCCCCCCGTCATGGAAACAACCTCTGGAAATGCTTTATGGATCTCAAAGCATGGTATAGTCAGAAGAAAGATAGCCTAGAATCATTCTGGGGCCATCACATAGATGCAGGTCCCTTAGTCACCTGTTTTTTTGCACTCAAATTCTGATTATATGTCTTTTGTATGCTAATGAGAGAAAGTTGACATATTTGAGAACTGAGATGCACACAGCTACTTTGCTATGCAGATGTGTTTCTAGCCCCAAATGGAGTATTTCTAAACCAGCTTTCAGCTGTCTGTTCGCTAATTTCACCTACAGTACTTTGGTGGCGGAAGCTTTTTGGAATAGCTCCATTACCTGAAAGTGTAATTAATTCTCCTTTCATGAAAATTGTATTACTCAAATGCTGCAGGACCTATGAGCTCCTCTCACGACCTTCCATTTATCACAATATTCACCTGACGGAATTACAGTTTATTTTTAGCCCCCGACACCTCTTTGGTGGCATTAAATTATGCATGTCTTCCCATGCGCCGATCATCTGTTTTCCTGACAAAGGGGGATGTATAGGTCTAACGACAGCTGTAATAAAATAAAAGGTTGTCTGGGGTTGTTGTGTGTGAAGAGCACTCGGGCTCAGATATGTACTGTTGCATGATTAAAGGTTTCAGTCCCAGCTGTTAGAGGAAGCATTTTAACAGTCTTGTTTTTAAGGTTTCCTTCCCTCTGAATCATCTTTAGGACTCCAGGGTCATTCCCATCCTTGCAACACACACATGACTAACAGTCTGAGTAATGGTGAAACTAAGAAACCGTGATCAGGAAGGATAAGAGGGCGACCTGAAGGTGTGTCATGTCTGGAAGCTGCCTGATGATCCTATCCCCAGCATACACATCCGTACACGAACGTTTAGTGATGACGAACTGGCTGGAGGTATTTTCCATGTCTATAGCGCAGACAGTGAAAATGACACTGATTACGGCTGAGCTGAGTTTTTGTCTCTGGGTACTTATGCAGCACTGTTTCATTTCATTACATCATGCCATCCTTCATGTTTCGATTTCTAGTCCCACTTTTGGGCTACTCCACTCGAATATGGGTCTCTATCCTCCCATTGATTTTCCAATTGAGAGCGAGGCCTGGGAGCAGCGAGGCACAGACAGCATCCATTGTTTCCATTTGTACGACACGATGATGATCTCACCGGCAGCCACATTGCCAGCATCCGCTCCTGCGCTCTCACTAGACTTCATCAGCTCAGAAGCTGCTGTTAATTACCAGTCCATATTCTAATTACTCATCACTCGGCACGGCGGTAAGCCCTGGAACGGGGACAGAAGTGAGGAGAGAGAGACAATGGCAATGAAGGGGGCATTTCTGCAACTCATTGACCTGGGGTAATTGAAAGCACATTTGGATGAGAAGGAAAACAGGATATGGCAGAGTGAGCTGGTTCAGCGTCTGACGCTGGCCTCTGCACTCTGGGCTGCGGAAAAGATAAACGCTACGGTGTGCAATTAGTGGTTGTTTGGTTGGTCAGGCGGCGGGACTCAATCTGTTATCTTTGCTAAGTGCCCCGAGTTTCACAGTGCTGTTTGCTCTGCTGGATCGCATGAGGAAATACAAGGCTTTAAAGTCCCATGTAAACCCGTGACAAGTTTGCCTGTAAATGGTTGACTTTACCTTGAGATTAGTATGACATCCTGGAGATAAACGAGCATATTGTGTAAACAAACACTGATATGCCTCTCATGTTTAGTGCTTTCATCTATCAGACAAACAAGATTAAAGCATTTCTCATAAGACAAGAGTAAAAGGACTCGCTATCTCCTCTTATGATTAAACAATTTAGGCTATCAGAGACATATAGAGGCTGATAAATACATAAATACAGATGAAGTAATAGGGATAATGCATCCTGGCAAGAAGATTGAAGATAATGGCAGGAGCCATTGCAGCTAAATTATAGATATGGAGAGCAAATTCAACTTGTCATAAGGACAAAAAAAGCGAGTGGATGGGATAAGATGTACTGTACATTGCCATTATGAGATGCTCAATAAAGAGGCTTTCAGGTATTGACAGTTGGGTTCTCTCCAAGACGGTGTCAATTATTCATGTTGTATGTATGTGCGATCAATGGCAGCTGCCTGACAGAGATCCAGTCTTGCTTTTATTGCATCACTCAGATAACGTGGTGACTCTCGGTGGCCATCATATCCTTTCTCTGACATATTTTGACAAAGCCATTCCACGCTATGTCAGCTTCTTAGCAATTTCCCCTGACATGGTCCCAGAGGAAGCACTAGTTTTAAGACCATGATGCGCCAATCTGAAAAAACATATGCCACCCCCTCAAATGTGTTGTGCAGATGCAGGTTTTTTCTTCGCCAATGTTGTGTGCCATTCAGGTTTTCCTTGTGGAACCAGTTTGGATTGATAAAGCAAGGATCAGGCTATAAGCTGGGTAGTCTGCGGGTGTACCCTCATTTACAGGCCCCCACTGTTCATCCTCTTAAGCTTCAAAGAAAGCCATAGCTCACACGGGCAGATAATATGCAGACATCTCCCTTTACCTTGATGTAGACCTGAATTTTCAAGACGAATGAGGAAGAAGAAGGGAAAAAGAGAGAGGAGTGAAAAGGAACAGATTTGAAAGGAACAAGGGGAAAAAAAATGAAACGAAGGCCTGTTTAGAGGGATTATTACCTCTTTCTTTACTCCCTCCTCAAGCCACAAACCCCCTCAAAGGACATCTGTCCATCTCTGTGTACACCAAAGGGCTGATTAATGGCCTGGCTAACCCAGCACTCAATGCTGAACCACACCACACCAATCTAATTACCCAGAAAAGAGCACACAGACTCCAGCATCTCGCCCTTCTTCCCTCCATGCATCAGAATGAGGCAGCATTAAAATGGACGACAAATCTAGATTATGTTCAGCAAAAAAAAAAAAGGAAAGGAAAATGCCCAGGAATCAAATGGCCGCCTGACATGAATAATAAAACTGTCTGCATCAAACTGCAGTCATGGAATGATAATGAAATAAATAACGAATTGATTACTATGCATCTGATGGCGCACTGAGATGATCTGAACGTGCCGCGAGGGGGCCTGAGCTTGTTGCAGCACCACGGACAGGCTTAATGAAAGAGGAGTGAAGAATTCTACTCTTTTAATACCACTTGTGATAATTGGGCTTCTGCTCAGAGTGCTCAGCACAAGTGCATCGCACTTCTTAGAAAACATAAATTATATGGCAACCACAGACTTGGCCCTTTCGCTGCGTTTGAAATAAGAAATTAGAAGAGCCCTATTCAGTGTTTTGATCTGATTAGTATTGGGAAATCAGCATGCCCATTAGAGCACATTGCAAAATCAAATCCTCAATATGATCAATACTATAGCAGGGATAGTCTTGAGTGGCAACAAATCATTGTGATCACTTGTAATTTCCGCTGACAAAAAGGCTTACTGTGGTAGAGTAGCCTTCAATTCTAACACACACTTCTGACTATGAACTGTGAACAATGGACTTTCCTTTCAGAGAGACAAATGCTTTCATGCAACAGACTGTCCAACTGCTAGAGGAAGTGGTAAGGGAGGCCATGTTTCTTCCTGATCCACTCAGATGCATGCAGGGTTCCTCCGCAGGACAATATGGACCCTGCCAGACCCTCCTACTCACCCACAAAGCCAAGGACACACATATGCCTGGGAGAATGCACGCAAACCTGCACACACACATACTCAAACACTGATTAAATTAGTCTTAAGGAGCAACAGGGGCCCTCAGGACAATATTTTCATTGCAATAATAAAGGAAAAGCTTGCTTATTGGCCCTCCCCAAGAAAATATTTGGCTTTGGGTCAGCTCTATTATTCATCCCCTGAGGAATATGCAGGGGCCAAACGTTTCAGCAAAGAAGCAAAGACTGTAGAAAAACGGTAGAAAAAGAAAAACAGTCTGGACATTTACAAGGCCTGGAGGCTTTTGGTTAATAAATCAAACATGCTCCAAATGCATCTAGGTAGTGGCGCTGTAGTTGTGTCACTGGGGGGTTTGTGCTGTGAGTGGACTTGGGATATGTGACTTATCCCCATCTGGGGGTGGAAGAACTAAATCCTTAATCTTTTCTCATAAAGTTCCCCCGGTGGGTGATGATCGCTTTGTGCAGATAAGCCGTTAGACAGAAAAATATGACAGAGCCTGTTTGTGTGTTTGAGAGTGTGTGTATGTGTGAGGCTGGGCAGGATGCCTGGACTAAATCCCAGCATCCCCCGGAGGCAGCCACTGTTATCAAGGAAAGGGAAAGTTATCAGGTAGGACAGGAAAACAGAGGGGGAGAAAAGACACAGACAGATAGGTAGACAGTGACAGAGAGAGTGGACACAGGCAATTTTAGTGAGGTGTGGACTCAACCACCTGGAGGTCCATGAGGACGGCTGACATTCATCATCGAAATTGTTGGGTCTCATCAAAGTGTTATGGAGAGACTGCACCTCCAGAGACTGAAGGACAAACACAGAACACTCCCACTGTGTTCAAGCAGACAGTAGTCACTTTTAATACTGCATACAGCCTCAGACTGTGACTCACCTCCAAAAACATACTGCAGGCACTTGGCGAATTGTTCTGTACTGCCATGGTTTATTTTTCAGATATTCTCTACCTTTCCAACGTAACTGAAACAACCTTTAAAGCAATTATCTGTGATATTTGAATCTAATAACCCTCCAATCAATAATTTCCTCTCTATGACATTAGAATCAATGTGGTACCTGTATCCACTCCTTGTTGGAGTCCTCTGCAGGCGTCCATGCATTTTCATAGTAGTTGAGTCTGGAGCGCTCTTGGGACCAGCTGGGGTTGTACTGGGATGAGGCCATGATTTGGTCCGACGTTATCTCTCCCGATTCCATTCCCAGTGGGTCGCTGCAGTCAAAGTCTGAGCGCAGGAGGAGAAGAAAGGAATGAAAAGGGAGGGTAAAAGATGTTAAGTTGAAATTTTGAGCAGTGAAAGCACTAGAATGTACCCAACATGTGCTTTCAGTGTCCCCCACAATCAGAGCTCGTCTCTGGGGAGGAGGACAACACACGACAGGCACTCAGCGCTGCTGGCCGGAAAAGAACAGCACATCAGCGACGCCTCACTAAATCCTTTCTGTTTCTCTCTCTTTCGTTTTTAATGGAAGCAGGATGGAAGTGTTCCGCATTAAGACGTAAAAATGTCATCATAAAACATTCAGTGTGGGCTAAGTTTACGCCAGTATTAGGCATTAAAGTGACTTTCGCTCTAGTTATTTCTTCCACTGACTGAACCTGTCTCCCTCACCTCCCTGTGGGCAGTTTATCTTTTTTGCACATGCTGACTATTTTCCTTCCTTGGTCTCTTGGGGGAGTTTAGGTGTGTTTAGTATCTGTAGTTTGGGGCCATATATCACACTCAATGGTCCAGCCACCCATGGTAGGAGGTAACTTCCCTTGTTTGTGTTGACATGGGGCAGCCGTTTTGAGGCATCCCGGGCTCCGTGGTTAAAAGACTCAGCTGGGTGAGCTTGGGGTCAGCTTCTCTAACCCCCGGAGGTCAGACATGCCGACACCGCTGTGCACGGAGCAACGGTTGGAACGAATGATATGACCTTTTGATCTGGCCAGGACTCGTATAATGTCACCACAACAACACCGAGGTATGCAAGGGCACACTTTCACACATTCATGTGGACCATTATTCTTCTTCTTGTTTATTTACTTTTTTTTGTCCGATGGTTAAGTTGGATCATAAAGCCCTTTCTCTAAACACAAAGCTACTGCTGCCATAAACATATGGTCCTTTCCCCAAATATGCAGTCATGTGCTTGTGTGTACATGGACACACACACAGAGGGCACAGGATGAGGAGCAGTGTGGAACTGCTATATGGCTGCTGCCTATGAGCTAACACAGATGGTCTTCCCATCTGCCACTCTGCTAACACACCTCAGTCACTGGGTCAGCGTTGTGTGTTTGTGCATTACAGTGTCAATGCGTGGGTGCATATGTATGTGCTCACACGCCCGAGCGTGTCGGCGTCTCAGCGTGAGGCTGAGAAAACCGTCTCGCACCTCTCCGCTCTCATCGTCGGCTCTCTTTGAGAAGGCTGCCCGTTCTTGTCAAACGTTTGTCCTCCCCGACCCACATCACCTAGATTACTGGATCATGATCAACAAAAACATAAAGAGGCGTTTGTTTGCCGCTGTAAGTATGGTGGTAAGTATCACGTGGGTTACCGACCAAAGCGGGGCTGATAGCCGTGAAGATAGCAAGGGTGGAGAGTGATTGGAGAGAATGAGAGCAAGAGAAACGGGGTAAGAACAAAAGACAAGGCCTCCTTTCATCACCTTATCACCTCTCATCAGTAACTTTCAGCGAAGAGTGTACCCTTCCCTATGCAGAAGAAAGAAAATCCACCGTGTATTATACATAAGGGGATTATGAATGATTCAAGTGGTACGAGTTTAGAGGAGTGCAGAAAAAGTTTGGAGAGTCTTTTTCTGTCTTGGATACGTCTCGGTTGGTGATGTAAGACCAAGAAACTCATGTAAATTAAGGTATTTACTGATCACGGGTCAGATATTTCACCATGCCTCTTAATGGTGAATGTGAAAAGTTGATTTGTGCAATCTGATCTTAGATGTGTGATTAAAGTGACAAAAGTACCTCGGAGGAAACTACGGAGAAATTACATCACCAGTCATCGCTGTGCTCATTACTGTGAAGGAGGCGGGGGTTCTGTTGTGTGTGTGTGTGTACTCAGAGTTGGTCTCCCCTTTGGGCAAGACAAAATCCTTTTTGGAGATGATGAGTAGATTTGTTGAATGTCATCCATCTCTATTGCTGTTCAAAGACTGACTGTGTGTGTTTGGGGTGGTCTAGCCTCTGGACAGATTTATGACTCCTACCAGCGCTCGTCTTCCTTAATGAAATGTTTAGTCAGAGCGTTTTGCAAAATGGGGTGGGGGGGGGGGGGGTCAACCCCAGTGACGACGGTACTGCATGTAAAAGCCCCTAGATTTGTGTGTGAGTGTGTGTCCAGGGTGGTTACTGGTGGGGAAGCTGCCTTTTGGAGCCTGTCTGGGCCTGCAGTGTGTAAAAGTCTTGTAAACCACGGGAGGGAGGCTTGTACCCTGTAACGCATTCACCAAATGAAGAAGCAGGAGGTGTTTATTTAATAACTCTTAAGCTCTGTTAAACGTGTGGGAATTTGTCATAATAGGAGCATGTGTGACTTCAGTTGCAGACAACATCTGCTTCTTACTTTTACTAATACTCCTCTGGGGGTTACTTTATTGCCCTCTAATTCTTATGTGACTAAACGGTTTCAATTCAGGCTCATCCAATCCAAATGTTCTTCCACTGAATAAATCTGTTTCATTTTGATTTCTACCTCAATATGCAGATTGTTTATGCCTATGTTCTTTGGCTACCACTGCTCCTGCCTCCCGTACATCCCCGTCTGTCTGATTTTAAGTGTTTTTATGCTGGCTCACCCTCTGGAACGGTCCTTTCGATGACACTGAAGTTGGCAGAAAAGCCTTCCTTAGCGATGGCGCTGTCGGTGTTGATTGTCAGTGCCAGGATGCCCGTGTAGGAGATGATCCTGCCCGGGGTGTTCTGCCCACAGTACCTCCCGATGTATGGACCGACTGGATGGGGAAAGCAAAAGGAGAGAAAAGCACAAACATTGTTACTTGGGTTAGACTTGGGTTAACTCAATATTTGTTTGTTTGCCACAGCCATGTCACACATGGGTTTAACTACCAGCCCCCGCCCTCCCAGGAGGTGTGAAAGCTAGTATGTCAGTGAGGTATGGCACCGGCTGCTTTTTTTTTTAACCTGACCTCATAAAGACGCTTGAGAAAAAGACTCCCGACATTCCATGCCTGCTTGCCTGTCCGACACAAAAAGAGCAAAGTGGAAGAGGGAGCTGTGGTGTGGGCAGGTCACGGTCTCTGTCTATTTGCTGGCTGTAAATTCCCCAGACTTCCCTTTTTTTTTCTTTCTTCAGACTTGAGGCGGACACAGCCGTGGTCGAGTGAGTTTTGTGAAGGAGACCAAACAAGTAAAAACCGAGCAGAGACATTGGGGAGCATTAAAAGGTAGAAAGCAATAAAAGCACGAGAGGGACATGTTCCACGGAGCAGACTGGAATAGGGAAGCAGGAGAAAATGGGAGGTGGAGGGTGAAGGAACGTCAGGGGGAGACAGAGAATCATGGGAATAAGAGTGATGGGGTAACGAGGGAGCTGGAGAGTAAGAGAGCACAATGACCTTTCCCTGTGTCTCTGATGTGTTCTATGATCCATGCACATTTGTGCGTGTGTGTTCAAGTTGGTGTGTAGGGACCTGCAGCTTATCTGTGATTAGTAATGCTGTGATCAGTGGCGAGTGACAGTCCTGCCTCCCTGTGGCCTCCTGCTATCCAAAACATACCCCCTTCCAGTCCAGCTCCTACATGAAAGGCAAAGGCCAGACCACAGGGACTTACAGGGCCAGGGGTGTGATGGCTCAAATTAATCTTCATAACCCAGGTGCCTGGTGCATGTGCGTGAGTATCTATGTGTGCTTTTAAAACCCGCAAAGGCTTGGGCTGAACAAAAAAATGCCATCTCCCGGATTATCTGCATGACTCCCCAGCGCTATGAAATTTTAAAGAACCATGATGTAAAGTCTGCGGCCTGCCTGCCTCTGCATTCCTCAGGGAAGAGGGACGAGGGAGTGGAGGTTCTTCTTCCACATCGACTGTCCAGCGAGGTGTGCTTTGAGAGGTGGAAAGACGGGGAGGTGCGATTCCCCCGGTGCTTCATGGGGGCCTGCGTTTGCCTGGACATTGCCCACCTCTGCACACCCTCCGACGGAGAGCATGCCTCCAGCCTTCCGTGCTAATGCACTATCGATCCGGCAGGCACAATGGGAACCGCCTGGCAAGAGCCGACACACTATTTTCCCCCCATGGCTTATTTTTATACAAGTCTGTCTGTCACATACAACAACACTTGAAGGGTGTGATGTCAGTATGCAGCGGTAGTGTCCAGCGTCTGCCATGAATAGACTCACTGTTGGACAAAAGACATTCTAGTCTTTTGTGCCATACTTTCAGCTGTAAGAACTGAGAAATCTCTACATTTTAACAAGTCAGAAGTAGCACAGGAAATGTTTCTTTTCCAGACCCCTGAGGTACTTTGCAAAAATCTGTATTAAAAGGTGATAATAATGTGACATATTCTCAGCTCACCAAGCCTTTGCGGGTCTCCTTAATCAACACAAATCCTGAAAATTAAACATCTCCCACCTCTGGGGGAGAACATACAAATGAGATATGGAAATACTTTGTGGAATCAAAGGTCAACTCTGCACAATCTATCAGAGACATGAGCTCAGGGAATACTGAACTTTAAGTAAACTCACTTGAAAAGGCGCCTTGATTTACACTTCAACCTTATCATTCGGAACGCCAGCGCAGAGAATACTGATGTGCACCAGGTTGAATGCTACTAGATAAAATGATTTCAATTTTCAGCCACTGATGGCTGAGAAAAGCTTTCATCTATTCTGCACCCCGCGTTGGAATAGCCAGGAGAAAAACTGAAAACTTCAAGAGGTGATTTCCCTCGCTGAGTTCAAAGCCTCATGTCGGGCCATGGAAGCATTGCTTTGAACACTGCTCGCCCTCTCTTGCTCTGTCTCACACCTGCTGATTTTTCAGATGGATTTAAGAATGCCATTTTATGGCAATATTTTGTTGTGTGTCTGAATTGACGTGAGTGTTGCAGCCTTTGCTCAACCCTGCGACCAGGAGATGTTGGCTCTTATCACAACCAAGCCGGTTCAGTTTAAATACAATACGCCCTTTTTTTCCTCACCTCCAAAGGAAATTCCTTTTAGAGTAATTTCCTGCAAGTTCCAATTGTTTTTTATTATGCATCAGGACCGGGAAACAGCGACTTAAATATCCCAACCTAGATTAGACCTTGAATTCCCAAATGTACAGACACTAACAAATCCTCCGGAAACAATTCAGCCTGTGACAGAAACAGGAAGTGTGGGCAAGAGCCCCTGTAATCAGGAAGTGTTTGACACTAAGCGATGACAAAACATTACGCTCATGACGGCGCTTGGACCCCTGCCAAGTCTGGTTAAGGTAGTTAGCCCACTGGCCCGGATAATGCCATCATATTCATAAAAAGCAGACAGATCTACACTGATTTTCACGAACCTGACAGAGAGAGTGAAAAGAACAGCAGGTAACAACAATATGCCTCCGGCTGAGAGGAGGCGTGTAAAACCTCCTTTTATACTTCTACAATCAACGTTCTCTATTCTCTATGATTTGCTAAAATGTAGCGCAAGTAGAAAAAAAATCTACCAATAAACCCAGCACTGTCAGTTACACAGTATGCAAACCATGTAAAGTTTGCTAACATTTGCTAACATTAGCCACCATAATAAGGCTGTAAGAGCAAAACCCATTAGTGTATTGATTTATGAGAGGGTGCATTTTGTTGCACTTGCTCACCTCCGGGGAAGCCATCCCAGATCTCCAGCCTGTCATAGCGGCAGAAAACACCAGCAGGAGGCGTCGGGTCCGGCTCCAGCTCGAAGCTTTCAAACTCCAGGATGATTTCGGACATCTTGGGGGCGAAGATCATGAATGTGCAGTCCAGGTTGTTGGGGTATTTCTCTGGGAAACCCGGTGATTTTATGACACCGCTGTTGGAGGTGAAGTTCCTGGAGCATTCGGGACCTGCAGGAAGGAATGAAACGAGATGGGAGGTGAGAAGATGAAAGAAGGACTGGGGATGATTCTTTTGAGTGTGTTGGTTAAGTGATCTGTTGCGAGTGGCTTTGTGTGGTGGGTATTGAGAAGCTCTGCCTCCCATCTGGTCTTTTGAATGGAGGACAGTTTATGGCCCATTGACGGGAGACCACCTTGATAGTTCTTCTATTCACTAGAGGCTATATCTAGGTCTTTCGACTCTCCTCTATGTGGTTTTGTGCCTTTTTTCATTCCCTTCTGGTCACAATCATCACACTCCGTCATCACTGTACATCTGCAACTCTTGCAACATCTGGATTGTGAGTGTAAACATTAGTGAAAGGCCTCAATCACCAGAATCGCAGGGCGATGAATAAATATCTTGATTCACTCTGCAAGAACCTGTCTCTCTCGCTCTCTGTCACACACACACACACACACACCCTCTCATCAGGACACGTCTGTGAAACATATGAGAGGTGCTCAGGCAAAATTACAGCGTCGGTGATGGAAGGCGAGGGCAATGACTGCGCATACATCAACGCACACTCGCACACTTAAACACACAATTTTACAGAAGAGAGAGTCAAAATATTTATTCACAGCTCCCTGGAGAGCTGCCTTTCAGCTGATGAGGAGCATTAACACATTTCCCATGTTAGCCACTTCTCAGAGCATCATGAGCACAAGATTATGATTTAAGAATGAGTGACGTGGGATAAAAAACTGATGCGAACAGCTGCAGGAATATGTTTAAGAGAGCGACAGAAAGAGACATGTTCAGTATGCTTGCTCTAGTGCTGGGCCAGATTGTTACCAAGCCGGCTTCACACAAACACACACACATACAACATCAGGGAAAAAAAAGAGGACTACTGTCATTCAGGGCAATTATTTGGAGCCATTAGTGGCAGAAATGTGCCCAGGATAATGTCATTTTCATGCTAGTCTGACAGCCAGCATGATGGGCGCAGATGGGGCCAATCGAAACCAAAATTGCAGTGAGTTATCACTAGATAGAGCCTCCGTGCTGCAGTCATTGTCGCTTAAATGAATGTGGCAAACTGCTTTTTCCCACTGTTCATCTTGCTGGGCCCCTAATTCAAGACCATCAAGCCCACTTCAGCCTGTCCACCGCGCCGGCGGAGTGAGTGAAGGGAGGGCTAGCCATGTTGATTTTTAAAGTTGAAAGCCACGGCGAGCTGCGTTCTGACTCTAAAGAGAGCTGACATTTAGTGTAGCAGCTAAAGTGCGGCTTTGGAGAACAGTGGGCACCATTAATTTCACAGCTTCCCCTCGTATTTACCTCCAGAAAATTGAGAGATTTTGTCGAGAGAGGGAGCGTCGCCCGGGATGAGAGGGTTGTGGGATGCTGCAATTCTGCGCTTTACCTCGCCATATTTGGGAGAAATCTCAGACAGTTTTGAGGTAAAAAAGTAAAAATGCAAGCCACTTCTTTGAAAAAGGCGCAAGTGAGTCCCTGAGTGCTCTAGACAGCTGCAACACCCAAAGTGCAATTCAGGTCAGTGTGTGGAATTTCCTGTGGATATTGGCTCAGAACTCCACTCTCCATCCATTTCATCAGCCTCCACCACGACCCTTATCTCAGCTCAGCAGTTGACCAGAACAGATTTGGTCATTGGAAATGGTTCACTCTGAAAACCAGGCAAAATCCAGGCACAAGACTGGCACTGAAAAGAGTACAGTGCTTGGACTGATGCAAGTTTGCATAATATTTTATCAGAATTAAGTCCAGCGTTTCAACTTGATGATATTTATTTAATAATTGCATTTGTAAAATGTTGGGTGCTTAAAAATATATAATAGTACGTTTTCCCTGTCTACTTTTAATATCTCACCATCACCATTAGGTATTCCTGTTTCTGTGTTCTGTCTGAGTGATCATGACTGGGGCCGAGCCAAGGACAAAGTCCCCTATTGTCAGCTTTTGTGTGACTGGCTACGTTTATAGCCCCTCAAGAAAAGGACAGACTGAAGACATCACAACAAAATAGAGTGGCTGCAGAAGACAGAGTGCTCTGGTTGGTCCCACCGGCGAGATAATCATCCAACAGATCTCTTTTATCTAGTGCCTGCACATGGGAGGGCTTCTGTCCCCGGCTCCCCTCGCTACACCCAGGATGCTTTGTGCTGATGTCTGCATGAGAGCCATTCAGTGATAGCAGTCACACATTTCTTCAGCAGTGCTCGTATGTACAGCGTGCGTGAACGCATGTGTTGACAAGGAGCTTCAGGAGACAAATATATCCCGGCCAAACGCTAACTCCCTGCTTCTTACTCTCAGTCTCCCCCTTGTTGTGTTGCTGCAGTTGTTGCTGTCTTTCCTGGCGGCTTTATTGATGGGGAAGAGGTTAAAATATGAAACAGAAAGGGTTTTGTAAATCTGAAAGGCTTGACTTGAGGTACGGCTGACAAGAATTACTTAGACTGCTTGATTTAATCTGAGACAGAACAGGAAGCTGGACCACAGTGCACCCAGTAGTCCGACCTTTGTTTAAAGTCTCCTTTTAAACAAACAGCTGAATTTACAACAGGAAGTTAGAAGAGAGAAAAAGAGGTAACCTTGAACACGCAAAATTTACCGGCAACCTCCAACCAGGCGTGCAAACATTTACTGCCGGCAGTAATGGATTCCTTTAACTCTCGTTTATACTGAGCCCTTCTCCTCCGGACTGGGGAGTAAACAAATGTCACTCTGACTCGCTCACTGAGTGATTGGAGTTTGTTTAACAGGACCAGCAAAATGATATTTAATGGAGATCTGATTTCAACTTTGCAAGTGTTAGACATCTATAATAAATATTAAACAAATATGGTTTCAACATTAAGGGAGCAGGGCGCTTTTCAACTGTTAGTCTCCCTGATGACTTGTCCTCTATGTCACTATTAAGTTGCTGCTTAAAGTGCTGAGAGCAGACCAGAGACTGGGTGTTAATCAGTAGAACAACATTGTGCCAAGGAACAGGCGTTAAATGTGTCAGCCTCTTGCTATTTTCATTTTTCAATCTGTCTCTCTCTCCCTTTTCACATATTCATTCTCTCTTTTCTTTCCATCTCTAACTCTCTCTCCTCGCTAAGGGTTATTAGTGACCGGAGCCATAGGAGCTGAAGGTGTTGTTTTTGGACTGCGAGGTAAATCACCACTGTTTATGTTCCATGCTGCTCTCTGGCTAATCATTAGCCCAGTTCACAACCCTGCACCCCCGCCATACCTCCCATCCCCTACCCTCCCCTCCCCCCCAGTCTGTCGTTATGCCACACTAACAGAGGGGTTAATCGTCGGTGGAGAATCAACTCTTTCAACACTAAATCAAACATTAACCTGGAGCCTGTGGAGTGTCAGTCATCTAAACAGATGGAAAGGCAGGTTTACATTTAACCTTACACACACACACCCTGAGGCACACACATACACTGCACTACTGACATGGTATTTAGTGCATTGACTGCGCCTGTGACGTCACTTCTCCCCCCACCCAGCGAGGGATGACACAGTGCTGATTGGATGGGGGGGGCAGGAGGGGAGTCACAGTCTCCCTCTGGCTCCTCTTAAAGAGATTTGTTGTCTTAGGTTTCCATGAGGGCCGTGTGTGTGTGTCTGTGTGTGTGTGTGTGTCTGATGACAGTACGTCTCCATGCCAGATGTGACCTATGCCATCAGGGCGTGCCGTCCATGAAAGCGGAACGTGCCCCCTATTAGGCCCCACCCAACACACGCACACACACCTTGAAAGTGTTTTCACAGGTGTGTGCTCAGAGTACAAGGCACCCGCATCACATGACAAACAGGGCTTTTCAGTGAAAAGGTGGTGTTTCTTAGTGGAAAGACGACCATAAAAGGCCTCCATGCAATAGACTTAATCATTCTGCTGAGTAATTGTGAGGAGACGCAGATGAGCTTGTGTTGTGTGTGTGTGTGTGTGTGTGTGTGGGAGGGAGGGTTGCTGCCAGTGGCACTATCTCTGCCTCCTCACCCACATCAATGGGCCCTCGGCTAGCGTTGATGTGGCTCTAAGCAAGCTGCAGAGCTGTTAAAAGAAAACATATGTTGGGCATGTGCGCATGTACGTATACTTAAGAGGACAGATCTTCCCAGAAACACTTGAGGATTTTAAGTGAGATACTATCAGAAGACACCTCATCTAAGTTTGCTCAACTTTTTGAGGCTGACATGGCTGATTTCTGTTCATACTGGCCTCTGTGGAGACATACACAAACACAACCATCTTGCTAATCTGCCCCCTTTAGCTCAAATATTCCTCCCTCCCCGACTTATCCCTCTTCTCCATCTCCTTCTCCCCCACCATCTCGCTCATCCCGTCTCTTGCCAGACTTCAGCCAGTGGAGCGCGCCTGCCAATTTGCAGGCTATAAAATAAATAGCCCATGCTAATTAAGATGGTTGGATGGGATTGAGGAGTGGAGAGGGGTAGAGGCTGAGCCGCAAAACAACCTGTTCTCTTCCAATTAGACACTTCGCGGGCTAGCGTTGATGAAAGCCAGGTCTACAAATGCCAGCATGTTGATGTTTGTGTGTGTGTGTGTGTATGTGTGTGTGTGTGTGTGTGTGTGTGTGTGTGTGTATTTAGATAGTTTATAGCTTAAGTGGGAAAACCTGCACATGTAAACATACTTGTATAAGTTGGCGTATGATCCCTAAAGGGAGCATGTGTTTACATATGCTTGCTTTGTGGATATATTTATCTTCCATGTGACCTTTGCTTGTATTGAACCCCAGATGAAAGGCAGTACCAGTCCCTGAGGTTGACTTCTAGTGATCTCCAGGCCTATCATCACAGTGATAAACAGCCTGCATTCTTTGCATTTTCCTTCATTGGCATGCACAAGTGCGAGCCTCCCATTCCTCCATCCGTTATCAGAGCATCTGTGTATCATCATTAACGTTACATGTGTTAGCCAACACAATGTTTTCCCAGCTAATACCCTGCTTGTTGATAAGCTGTACTAATCAGCTAGCTTTGAATTTCTCTCTCTCTCTCTGCTTGGTTCTCTCTCTCGCTCCAGCAAACAGGGCTGTTAATTGATCTCAGAGCCCTGTTCTTGGCGGCAGCCAGCGGCGCAGTAGTCAAAACAGGCTGTAGATTCAAAGCATTAAGAGGGTCTGGATCCACTAAGGAAGCAACGGCACACCCATGGTGCTCTTGTCCGCAGGGGGATGGCGCTAGGTGCAAAAACACCCAGGCGAAAAAAGTTCTGTCCTGGGTTTAATCTACAGCAACATCCCTGCAGCGCCTTTCTTCCAGCCCTGATTCCCCTTTGGATTCCAACCCCCCCCCCACAGATTCTAATCAGAGATAGCTCCAACTCTCTAGTCCTGACTCTCTACCTTCTATCCACACTGTCATCTGCATTTCTGGCTAGATCCGTATTTCCTCACATCTCAGCGCCCCACGAGTTTTCCCGGCAGTTCCATTTCTTATCGCCACTGGGCCCCTAACACGCCTCATTTATAATCAGTCCAGGCTAATAGATGAGACTGGGAAATACCAAGCTAATCATGGGAAGAATGTAGTAGATTTAACTGGCCTATTGAGGGGAACGAGGCAGCGTGTGCGGATGAGCTTGCGTATGTCGGGGCGGAGTGTCGCTTTGATCTCGTAAATGGACCCACACTTCACCAGCTGCCCTGCCGTGATGGTGACACGCACAAGCCCGGACACACAACACAAGCACAAACACACACACACACACACACACACACACTAGCCCAGATTAAAAGGAAGGAGGGACCTTGCAGGGCCATTCATCATGTCTCAGAGGTCACGGGGGGGCGTCCTATAGGCTGCTGTTAAGGTTAATTAATGAAAGTGGAGTCTGTAGCACCTGTCTGCCTACTAGTCACTCTCCAGATATGTGCTGTCCTCCTCCTCCGCCTTCCAGTCCAAACAAAGGAAGGCAGCCAACCAACAGGAAATTCTCCCTCTTGTTATGCTGTGTTCTGATAAGATAGACATCCCCTGAGGATATTCGTGGTTTATCATACCTGATTCCTGACTAAAATTACCCAGAGGTCTTATTTTTAGGTTTAACATTAAGGAAGGAACCCCAGACTGATAGGAAACCACTGCAGCACTCAGAAACAATAGGCTTGAATTCACTTTCTCCACAACCAGCTAGTGAGTGGTTATAATGGCAGGTTCACACCCTTGCTGTGGATTGCCATCTGACAATAAACCCAACACTCGAAACAACATTTGGTGAATCAATGCTTAGCAAATTATGCCCTTGCTTATTGTACAATCATTCACACCAGATAAAAACTGCTACAATTACAGAACATATGGGACTATGATTCATTGGTTCTGAATGGAGCATATTGCTCGCCATATTGCGATTGCATAATTTGATGCTCTGGTGCCTTGACTAAATCACAAACAAACCATGAAATTAGACGGAGAAGCTCTTTTTCGCCCCATTATCTGAATTATTCCTCCAGCTTTCAAACTATTGTACGTATTGTACTGTGTATGTGTGATAGTTTTTATTTTCCTAACATTAAACCAACAGCTGCTTTAATAAGTCAGGTCAGCCATTTACATTATCTGGAATGGCGTATGGTAAGAGGAGTGAAAGATCTTAAAATTAAAACAGTGGTGGAATAGAAGCTCACCTCACTACAATTCCATGACAAACAAATGGAATACTCCATCTGCTGAGGGTGATCGTGTCATATGATAGAAAGCTCCAGAACGGCTACTAAATGGACCTTGTGGTGAGGTTTGTCAGCCATTTTTTATTTTCAATATCCTTAACCAATCAATTTGAAACTAGCAGCAAAAAGGTTAATATGAAATGTGGACCTAAACCTGAGAGAGTATTAACATGAGCAATAGCTTGAGACCACCAATTATGTCTCCAGCTGAAATACAGCTGTGGTTGTGCATTTATATTTTCAATATCATATGTGACTTGACAGGTAATATTTCAAATAATTGGGAGAAAGTGAAGCTACAGCTGTGTTATAGGCCACCCACCTGTCTTAAAGATCTCATATCGGATGGAGAAACCCGCTCCGTGGGTCTCGTAGTCAGACACGAACTTGATGAAAAGCTGGTTTCCGGACGAGACGACCGGAGAGGGAGCGATCTTCCCGCAGTACTTCCCCACAAGCTGACCGCTCTCGTCCACGCCATCTCGCACCTCCACGTAGTCATACCTGAACAAGACAGGTGAAAGAGACGCGGTGTCAGTCAAACTGTGCTTTAGGAAACTTTATTTTTTCCTGCAGGTTTGGTTTTCATGTAATTCTGTAGTTACTCTGTTCCTGTCGAAGTAAATTGGATTTGTTACTATTTCCGCTCATGTTGTGCATGTATGAACACACACACAGATAAACACACATACATTCATACTCACAGGACCACATAAACACAGAGCAACACGGCATATTGTGCAGGTAATGTAGTGGAAATGAAACACTGTGTACTAATGAGGTCTCAGGTTAAAACTCAGAGAACAGGTGGGAAGGCTATGCTTTCATTATATCGACCTGGCACACACACACACACACACACACACACACTCAGAGCACACTGCAGAGGTTTTGTGCTCCCAGCAGCACTGAGGTCAGGTTTACGTAACTGCTTTGACTACTTCATCTGAACAGTTGTTTATCTCCTGGTTAACCCCGGCACAACTGTGTGTGTGTGTGTGTGTGTGTGTGTGTGTGTGTGTGTGTGTGTGTGTGTGTGTGTGAGTGTGTGCCTGTTGGCAAAAAGAGAATGGGAATTGAAAGTGTTAATATCTTGGCCTTTGGCCTAATCTGGTATATAGAAGGAGCAGGTGTTAAAGCTGTTAAACACACACTCAAACATCACATTCAAATGGAATTTCAGACCCACGGCTATTGGAGGGAGCAGCCTCTTAATGGAGTCAGCGCAGAGTTTAGGGGCAGAAGAGGAAAACAACTTTGAAATAGGTCTGGGAACAGGAGCCATGATGCACACACACACACACATACACACACACACACGCACAGAATATGGCATGTGAAACTTAAGCTGGTAGAGGAGAAATTAGAGTGACTGCCCAATGTGGGTGGTCTAAACAGCCTCTGGTTATCTGTGTATGTGTGTGTGTGTGTGTGTGTGTGTGTGGCACTTGTTAAGGGTTTACATTAAATGAACTGGAGTGGTTTTTACTCCACTGCCTGTGTGCGTGTGTGTGTTTGTATGATGGTTCAGATGACTTTTCCGTGCTGTGTTTTGACTGTGAGTGACGAGACGAGCGTTGCTCCAACGGCAGATTTCGGTTCAGGTTTCCACAGTTCCTAATTGCCCATAACGCCCTGTTCCCGCCAAGTTTTCAGCTTTGCGGGCCACTTAGCGAACATATTCCTTCTCAAACCCAGATGACCCACTGCAAAGGTCCTCAGTCTTCATCAGAGACCAGATGAAAAAAACGCAATTCACACACACGGTAAATACAGAACTGAATTCTGATGTATGTTAGTATAATGTGCAGCAGGTGTGCAGGCACTTTCACACACACACACACACACACACACACACACACACACACACACACACACACACACACACGCTCTTTCTGCCTCCTCCTCCCTCCCCTCCCTCAGAAAATATGTGCCTTCTGGGCAAAGGGGCCTATTTTCATAGTTTTGCTTGATTCCCAAATTACTGTCAAAACATCACGTCTCCTTAGCGATTCTGAATTCACTTAATGTGCAGGATTTCACACAAAAAGGCGATTTACACTTTGAATGATGGCTCGGGGTGGGCTAAATCCCTCAGGTGGGGCCTGACTTGTATCCACACGCACCCTTTGCCACCTTTTTCTACAAAAATGGTGCCTCAAATTTAAAGGAACATATTTGTGGAGCAGAAATCGAGTTACCGGAGGTGAGTTGGGAGAGGCGGGGAGGGCTGTCTACTGGGTTTTCATAAGCAGAATATTACAGCATGTGGTGGGTGTCAGCTAGTGAGAGGGAAGGAGAGAGAGTAACTAAATGTAGAGCTGGGCAGAAGTGGCACTCCCTCGAAAATTGGGTCCCCTGAGGAGGTGCGGTGGATGGATGAATTCACTTGTCTTTCTGCTCGGATGGAGTGATCTGAGGTGATATGGAGCTGTCAACATGCATCAAGCATCTCCTCTTCTTCTCCTTCTCCTTGTCCTCTTCAATTTTTTGTGTCTCAGGTTAAAGGTTTGCTACTTGAACAGAAAGCAGTTTTCTGTCTATCGAAACAGTATAGTCCCTGATAGGCAGCCCTCTGCTCTTGGAACCTCTTTTCAGGATCCACCCCATACAGGCATTAGAGTCTCATCAGAAACTTACTGGAAAGATCTGGTTCCCTCAACTTGAGTTCTTCATATATTTTGATATCCTTTAGGGGCCCGGTCCTCTCCTGTCTGCTGCTGGGTTAAATCCTTATTTTCTCTGCGCTGTGATTTCAGACCAGGTCTTCTTATTCTTCTCTCCTCACCGGGCCACCAGCTGTGGCAACAGCCCGGCTCAGCTTACACAAGTACCACTTTGTTTCAGCTACTTTATCAGCTGCAGCCCAGTAAAAAATACTAGTTTCACATGGTGTTTACAATGTTCCCCCCACCCCGCACACACTCCTTGCGGCTAAATGGCACTCATTATTCAGTTTAAAGGGCTCCCCTGAAGCAGGCATCAGGGTTTTTCCCTGTTGTAATGATGTCATCGCCTAGTTTAGTCACCAGAGAAAATATTTATGATGAAAGCATGTAAAGTCTAACCAAAACCACACAACTCATATTTCTTTTGCACTAAATTAAGTTATTGTCTTCTCAATGTTGTTTTTACTGAAAGGTAGACATATACACTGATAAACGAATCTTCTTAATTTCAACAGATGTTAACATTTTGGTTTAAGTCATGTGTTTTGGCCCGTAGGGAAGTATTCATCAACCTAAATTGAAAGAATATTCCAAAAAAATTTCTCCCACAAATGTTTGTGCAATCAATATGTCTGCTTAGAGGCTCTGTCCTCTTCTGATTCCTCTCCTTTCCTCTCCTCTTCATCTTTTGGTTCCCAGCTCACAACAGAGAGCATCAATCTTTCTGTGTTCCTGCTCTGTTCTATCAGCAGACTTATAATTCACCTCAGAGCCTCTGTCTCTGCAGCTATCTAACTGCCAAAAGCTGAGCATTGCCAGACACCTAAAAAATTGATGCTGAGATGCATCACCGAGATGAAGAAGGAGAGAAGAGCATGCTGCAGTACAGCTGAAGGGGCTGAGCAAGTGTTTGTGTGTGTGTGGTTTTGTTGTTTGTGTGTACGATCTATGTGCAGAGCATTATACATATTGTGTGCAGTATAGAACGTTTTTATGCATGCACAACCAATGTTTTCATTTCACCTGTCCCCACAAACTCCTCATTCACCATCCAAACAAGAGGAGAGCTCTTATTTTCGCTCTTATTTTCATTTTCTATTTCGACTCCTCATACACCAGAAAAGCTGTTTATTGCATTTTTACCCCGGCGCACCATCAGCTTGGATGGCCCTCATAAAGTAAGCACAGCGGGAGAGAGGATGCAGATGGAAGAGAGAATACGCCCTGGGGGTCCTCGCTGTGCTCTATGCGCGAGGAAAGGAAGACCTCCTCCTTGAAAATGTCTCTATTTGTGCCTAAATGACTGGTGTGTCGGCCAGAACTCCAGCGGTTCTGCGCCAGTGGGTCCACACGCTCCGCTCTGCTAACACAGATCCATCCAGGCCCTTATCATCTGGAAGACATTATGGGAAAACGCTTGGTGGGCCAGTTTGACGCCTCCGAAAGGCTCTCCTGTCTCCTGCCGTTTTAAATGTAGCTCTTATCAATTGGTCTGAACACCTGTGGGGGCTTGCTTCGAGGGTCCTTAGGGAAGACAGGAGACAGTTAACAACCTCTATCTCGGATCATAAAAGAAGAACATGAACATGACCTAGTTTCATTCCCCGGATGGTCCCAAAGTTTTGGGGGTTTGCCTCTCATCTACGTCCTCCTGACCTGCCAAGTTAAACTTAGATTCCGCTCCTCAAGGGCCTGTGCTGTGATTCTTTATGTTGTATCACTGCTGCTGTTGTTCTTCTTATTCCTCATGACAATACAATCAAGTTGAGCCATGCACCTATTTATCTGTCTAGTCTGTTTTGGGTCTGGGTGGGCCTGCCAGCACACCACAACACACACACAGACGTTTACACACACACACACACACACACACACCACCCACACACACACACACACACACACACACACACACAGTGAGCTGCCTACCACAGTGCTAATAGTGAAAACGGTTTGCCAATCCAGTGGGGAAATTAAAGGGAAAAAAGAGAGGGGTAGGCAGGCGAGGGGGGGTGAATGTAATTCTCAACGACCTTCGCTTCACCGACTCAAATGTATTAGCCTGCCTTCTTTCTTCAGGCACAGAGAGAAAGCAATCCGCTAGTGTCAAACAAGAACATTAGCCCTCCTTGCAAAGCCAAAGAGAAGGCGACAAACCACCGGCCTAACAATATAACAGTTATATTGCCTGAAGCTTTCCCATGGAAATAATCTGTCCTCCCTCTATAAATGTCCGCTTGATATGGTTCTACAAAAGCAATACAATCTGAGGCAGTAGAATAACGCTATGACAGACTGTGTAAGCCTCATACAATTGGTTAGATTTCTTAATCAGACCATTTATAAGCTCAAGCATGTGGTGGAAACCCCCAGAACAAGAGCTCTTTCTTTGCTATTACTGCCTTTGCTTAAGCTGTGTATGGAACAAATGCCCGGTGCTTTTCTCCGGCATTTCTTTTTCTGCGGCTGTCACACAGTAACTTGCTATTGCATGAAAACATGTCACCTATAACATGTCAAAACATCTCTGGGTAACACAAGTGGAAAGGCCTAAACAACGGACTTGGGACAGCTCTGTGAGGCTCAGGGGACTTAGCAGGAAAAAGGACTTTGTTGTCAGCTGTCAGAAAATTCCGGCCCGCAGACTTCGCGTGTTAACAAGTCCCGGCTAACAAACTGTCACTTGGGGCTCCAGAAAAACATCATTAACGTTTGTACAAGGGGCCGCAAGACAGGCTGATCTCCGACTTACTTTTTCCGAACCTGGAGGGGACATACCTCGCTAAAATAAAATGGTCTCTCTTTCTCCACTTTCCCTCCCATACAGCCTCCCTCGTG